ACTAAATAGATTGTATATGAAATTTAAATAAATTATTCATTGAAAAGTTTGAAATGATGACCATGTACCATGAAAATATGTTTATCATACATTAATATACATTGAGAGTATGGTTAGGCATTTTTAAACAACACCAAAGTGTCTAAAAATTATAGTTAACATTTATCGAAATATTCAATTGTTTCGTAGGGGTTAACCTACATATTTCAAGAAAAAATAGAAATTTTATATTTTTGTTTTTCATCATCCTCTGACAGAGTATTAAGATTAAAGAGGTTTTAGACCTTATGTGTTCCTATTTCTCTAGAAAATAAAGATTTTATAGTGGTTACTACACTAATTAGATCTTATATGAAGTTTAAATAAATTACTCGTTGGAAAGTTATAACTTATGACTATATACCATGAAAATATGTTTATCATACATTAATATACATTGATAGTGTGGTTAGGTATTTTTAAAACATCACTAAAGTGTCTAAAAATTATAGTTAGCATTTATCGGAAAACTCAATTTTTTTGTAGAGGTTAACCTACATATTTCAAGAAAAATTATAAAACATATTTTTTTAATGCATATTTGCATCATGCTTGGACATAGTAAGAAGATTAAAGAGGTTTTAGACATTATGTGTTCCTATTTCTCTACAAAATAGAGATTTTATAAGGGTTACTATACTAATTGAATCGTATATGAAGTTTAAATAAATTACTCGTTGGAAATTAAAATGATGACCATGTAACATGAAAATATGTATATCATAAATTAATATACATTGAGAGTGATGTTAGATATTTTTAAAACAACACGAAAGTATCTAAAAATTATAGTTAGCATTTATCAAAGAATTCAATTTTTTTGTAGGGGTTAACCTACATATTTCAAGAAAAATTAGAAATTTTGTATTTTTGTTTTATTGCATATTTGCATCATCCTTTGATATTGTATGAAGATTAAAGAGGTTTTAGACCATATGTGCTCCTATTTCTCTAGAAAATAAACTTTTTATAGGGGTTATTACACTAATTAGATCGTATATGAAGTTTAAAAAAATTATTCGTTGGAAAGTAAGAAATGATGATCCTGTACCATGAAAATATGTTTATAATACATTAATATACATTGAGAGTATTGTTAGGCATTTTTAAACAACACTAAAGTGTCTAAAATTATAGTTAGCATTTATCAGAAAATTCAATATTTCGTAAGGGTTAACCTACATATTTCAAGAAAAATTAGATATTTGGTATTTTTTTTGAATGCATATTTGCATCATCTTCTGAAATAGTATTAATATTAAAGAGGTTTTAGACCTTATGTGTTCCTATTTCTCTAGAAAATAAAGATTTTATAGGGGTTACTACACTAATTAGATCGTATATGAAGTTTAAATAAATTACTCGTTGGAAAGTTAGAAATGATGACCATGTACCATGAAAATATGTTTATCATAAATTAATTTAAATTGATAGTGTGTTTAGGAATTTTTAAACAAAAGTAATGTGTCTAAAAATTATAGTTAGCATTTATCGAAAAGTTCAATTTTTTCGTAAGGGTTAACTTACATATTTCAACAAAAATTAATAAACGTTTTATTTTTGTTTTAATACATATTGACATCATTCTTGGACATAGTAAGAAGATTAAAGAGGTTTTAGAAATTATGTGTTCCTATTTCTCTACAAAACAGAGATTTTATATGGGTTACTATACTAATTGAATCATATATGAAGTTTAAATAATTTACTCGTTGGAAAGTTAGAAATGATGACCATGTAACATGAAAATATGTATATCGTACATTAATATACATTGAGAGTGATGTTACATATTTTTAAAACAACACTAATGTATCTAAAAATTATAGTTAGCATTTATCGAAATATTCAATTTTTTCGTAGGGGTTAACCTACATATTTCAGGAATAATTATAATTTTTTTATTTTTATTTTATTGAATATTTGCATCATCCTCTGACATAGTAAGAAGATTAAAGTTGTTTTAGACATTATGTGTTCTTATTTCTCTACAAAATAGAGATTTTAAAAGGGTTACTACACTAATTAGATCGTATATGAAGTTTAAATAAATTCGTTTTTGGAAAGTTAGAATTGATGACCATGTACCATGAAATTATTTTCATCATATATGAATATACATTGAGAGTGTGGTTAGTTATTCTTAAAACAACACTAAAGTGTCTAAAAATTATAGTTAGCATTTATCGAAAAATTCAATATTCTCGTAGGGGTTAACCTACATATTTCAAGAAAAATTAGATATTTGGTATTTTTTCTTTAATGCATATTTGCATCATCCTCTGACAGAGTATGAATATTAAAGAGGTTTTAGACCTTATGTGTTCCTATTTCTTTAGAAAATAAAGATTTTATAAGGGTTACTACACTAATTAGATCTTGTATGAAGTTTAAATAAATTACTCGTTGGAAAGTTAGAACTGATGACTATATACCATGAAAATATGTTTATCATACATTAATATACATTGAGAGTGTGATTAGGTATTTTTAAAACATCACTAAAACATCACTAAAAATTATAGGGGTTACTATACTAATTAGATCATATATGAAGTTTAAATAAATTACTCGTTGGAAAAGTTAGAAATGATGACCATGTAACATAAAAATAAAATATGTATATCATACATTAATATACATTGAGAGTGATGTTATATATTTTTTAAACAACACTAAAGTGTTTAAAATTATAGTTAGCATTTATCGAAAATTTCAATTTTTTGTAAGGATTAACCTACATAATTCAAGAAAAAATAGAAAATATTGTATTTTGTTTTAATTCATATTTTTATCATGCTCTGACATAGTATGTAGATTAAAGAGGTTTCAAACTTTATGTGTTCCTATTTTTCTATAAAATAGAGATTGTATAAGCGTTACTACCCTAATAAGATCGTGTATGAAGTTTAAATAAATTACTCGTTGAAAAGTTAGAATGATGACCATGTAACATGAAAATATGTATATCATACATTAATATACATTGAGAGTGATGTTAGATATTTTTAAAACAACACTAAAGTTTTTAAAAATTATAATTAGCATTTATCACAAATTTCTTTTTTCGTAGGGTTAAACTACATATTTTTAGAAAAAATAAAAAAATTTGTATTTTTGTTTTAATGCATACTAGATCTCGACCCGCACAACCGTGCGGGTATTTTAATACAAAAATATTTGAAAATTTATAATACTCTTTCCGTTTCAAATTAGATGATGTTTTAGAAGATTTATTTTGTTTCAAAATATAAGATGTTTTAAAAATTTAAAGTATAGTTTAAGGTTAATTTTAAATTTATTGGAAAATGTTCAACCAATAAAATTTTACTTTTTTATAATAATTGGTTGAATGATTTTAAAATTATATATGTAAAAATACTGTTGTAAAAAATGTAAATTCTTAAATCTTTGTGCAATGATCCAACACATCATATATTAAGAAACGGAGGGAGTAAAATTTATCAATAAATAAATATATATTTGATTCTGTTTACTATCTAATTTTATAATAATATTTACGTGGTTTATTATATTATTAATATAAAATTTATAAATTTGTATTTTATTAACAATTTTTAAAAATATTATTATGTAACATTACTAATTTATATATTTGTTTATTTCTAGATTTTAAATATATGTAAAAAGTAAATTAAGTTTGAACTACATAATACATAAACAAAATTTTGGGATATTGTTAAAAGTATTTTACATAATTTTAATTGTTTGTTTATAAATAAAAATGAATTAAAATTTTAATTATATTGTATGATAATTAAAATTTTAATTAAATAATTTTTGAAACTATATCTTGAAAAGATTCTAAAAGATCTTTTAAAATATTTTGTTAGAATTTTCTTAAACTATTTATTTGTATTTAAAATAAAAACTATATGAAAAGATATTATAATGATGTTATGTAAAATTTTATAAAATTTCTAAGGATGGTCCAAACTAAAAAATCACACATGAAGTGAGTCATGACTTCTCTTTTAATATAATAGATTTGCATCATGCTCGGACATAGTATGGAGATTAAAGGGGTTCATAACTTATGTTTTCCTATTATTTCTAGAAAATAGAGATTTTATAGGGGTTAATACACTAATTAGATCGTATATGAAGTTTAAATAAATTATTCGTTGGAAAGTTGAAATGATGACCATGTACTATGAAAATATTTTTAGCATACATTAGTATACATTGAGAGTGTGGTTATGTATTTTTAAACACATAAGGTCTAAAATCTTTTTAATCTTCATACTATGTCAGAGCATGATGCAAATATGCATTAAAACAAAAATACAATATTTTCTAATTTTTTTTTTAAATATGTAGGTTAACTCGACTAAAAATTGAACTGTCCATTACATCTAACTATAATTTTTAGATACTTTAGTGTTCTTTAAAAATACCTAACCATATTTTCAATGTATATTAATGTATGTTATACATATTTTCATGTTATATGGTCATCATTTCTAACTTTCCAACGAGTAATTTATTTAAACTTCATATACGATCTTATTAGTGTAGTAACCCCTATAAAATCTCTATTTTCTTGAGAAATATGAACAAATAAGGTATGAAACATTTTTAATCTTTATACTATGTCCAAACATGAAGAAAATATGCATTAAACAAAAATATCAAATTTTCTAATTTTTCTTGAAAAAACTGAATTTTCCGATAAATGATAACACACACTTTAGTGTTGTATAAAAATGTCTAATCACACTCTCAATGTATATTAATGTAGGCTAAACATATTTTCATGGTACATGGTGTAAATTTTTGATGTTTTAAAGTAATATGTTTCAACTAGGTAATTTTTTACTTTATTAAAAACCTATGCATCCAGTTATATTTTTATGGATTTTATAATTGGTCAACTTAATTATAATTTATATTTTGAAACATAGGAAGAGTATAACCTATAAACGTTCGTAATGAAGCAACTGGTATATATACAATTCTACTGAAAAGTCGAAATAAATTAATCTGACATCAGAGATTACATATACAATCTTGTGTGGAATTCAACTCTAAAGCCTTATGATATAAATCTAACAAATGGCTTTTGCTTGACTAAATTAATGATACAAAGTTCAATTATGAGAAAGCGTTGGATACACTTTTAACATGGCATTGCTTGATCGAAATGAAGACATTGCGCTTGAGAGAAAGTCTTGTAGCCATTCCAACAAGCTCTTCAAAACCTGATGCATCAAGGTAACCCACCAAAAGTACAACCATTGTCTCTAGACTTCTTGTGTTTCTCAGTAAACGCTCCACGAACGAAGCCACAAGATTGGACTCTGCATACTTCCCCACCAACATTGAAATGGTCTCCATAGAGCCCGGGAAGGCCATGTCTTTTGATCTCCAGCACTGACGCTGCTGATTCAAGCTATGTGAACGCAAGTAGCTGTTGAGATGTGCTTCCTGCAAAACACAAAAACTAAAGATTTCAATATCTCAGATACTAACAGTATGATTGATTACCTATATAGAAAGATGATACCGATATGATGCTGCATTTCACGGTATGTATCGTTAGCTTTCTTAACCCAGGTGAGTTCTGTAGAAGCTTTGTTATACCAGGAACAACAGACCGAACAATCATCGTTTCAAGAGTCAAATACTCAACCTTGAGCGTTGGAAAACGTACATCACAGAGCGCAGCAAGAGACAACATCTAAAAGGCAAATATATATAGTCAATACCATAACACATACCTAATTTAGAAAGTTGTAGACCTTATAGGCTAACAACATACCTGGAGAAAGGTAGCACCAACAGTAAGCTTCTCAACATTCTGCAACTTCGCTAACATCTTCACCACGTTCCCTTGAAGAAAATCACCCGTAAGAGTTCCAAGATCACAGAAGTAGATATTCAAGTTCGCTTCGTTTAAACAAGACACATCAACTAATCTACACGGTAACCTCGAGTGTCTCAATCTCAAACATCGTACATGCGGCGCCACAATCTCCGTAGGGCCAAGAAACCAATCACTCCGATCCATCTCCAACCTCATCAAACGCGGTGAACCACTCAAATCAAGACACCGAAACTCATCGCAAAACATCAACTCCAAGCTCTCAAGAACCGGACAACCAGAGAGAATCTTAACAAGGGCATTATCGGAAAGCTTACAGTAACTCAAAGACAAGCTCTTTAACGAAGTCCAAGAGACGTTACACTTAGGGTTCATCACAACAGATCCAGAGTCGATCAAGAGCTGCTTCACAGTAGAATTTGAGTAGAAACCATCGGGAAAATCGTAGTCCCTGACACGTGTGTCACGAAACTCGAGAGAGAGCTTCTCCGCGTGACGGTTAATGGCGAATTCGATCCAGGTGTCGACGTGTTGGATCCTGTTGGCTAAGCTGGTTCGGAGATGAAAGGAGGAGACTTTGGGAGATGAGAAGATGGATAACGTTTTGTTTATCGATCTGGTGACCACTCTGTGGCTGTCGATGGAGAGAGAAGGTGTTTCGGACCAGACGTGTCTCCATCGTTTGGACAAGGCGGAGGTTCTGATCGCTGACTTTGTCGGGACAGAGGAGAGGATGAGGTGGAGAATCGCGTCTGGTAGAGAGCTGATGTAATCTAAATCGTCGCCGTTCATTCTTGTTTTGGTGAGGAGAGGTGGTGTGGCGTAGGGTTTCAATGGACGCTAGTGACGCCGTCTTGATGTCGGAAGTTCTCAGCCATTTGCCATCTATCGAAACTCTCAAAATATCTTTTTTTATCGTGAAAATAAATAAATATTAGGTACTTAAAAGGTAATATTCCGTAATATAAATTATTTATTGCAAAATATGGTTTTAAGCTTTGAAGATTGTTTTTTCTAAAATGAAGAGAAAGAAAACTTTTAAGAACACGAGTTGCAAGTTTCAACCAGAGCAATCTGGGAACCACTGTTTCAGCATAGTAAACAGTGAAAGAATTCATGATAAGTGTGAGAATCAATACTATTGTTTTGAGTGACAGAGTTGCGTGTATTATTATTGTTTGAAGATTGAAGATGTGACCGGTAACTATCATAGGTATATTAGGAATTGATAAGGAAAAAATAATTAATAAGAAGATTTGGAAATGATGAAAAAGAAAAACTATTCCTCAAAAATGGTATTTTTTTTTTAAGGAATATCAAGAAATATAGTGTTCTTCCTCATTCCCTTTGGGCTTTGGATATTTATATATAATGGTATTTTTAGGGTCCAACAAAGAGAAGATGAGATACCGAATGGGTTTAGGGTTTAGGACTCAAAAATGGTATTTTTTTTAAGGAATATTAAGAAATATTTTTCTTTGTCATTTTTAATAAATAATGATATATCTGGTGACCACTCTGTGGTTGTTGATATTTAATTTTTTATTAATTTAGTTAATTTTTTTTTAAAAAAAACTAATCATATAATTTAACTAATCTAATCTATGTTACCAAATAAACAATCAAAATCTTAAGTATAAACGAATTAACATAACTTATTTACTGAAACAATTAATTACCATATATTACATTATAAAATGATAATATACATATAAATACATATGATACTGCAAAACAATTCTAAATATATTATATTTACAGTACATACAATAAATCATATATTGTAGAAAACTAATTAATATAAACCTAATAATATTTCTACTAACTATATACATATATATTAAAAATATGTTAAATGAATGCAAAACATTCAAATATATAATTTAAAAATATTTCAATCATTTGCAATAACAATGTGATATTATAGGTGAATTAGCATTTTTTGAAAAGATGAAATTTTAAATTTAGAGTTTTAAGGAGTGAATTTTCAAATATGAAGTTTCACTCCTCAAAACTCTAAATTTGAAGTTTTAAAAAAAAAATTGGAGAACAAAAAAACTCTATATTTAAAGTTATAAAATTTCTTTTGAAGATGCTCTAAGGTCAAATCAATAGTACAAATCATATGAATAGATTTTTATTTCTATAATATCATTTTTGCCATTTTTAATATTTAAAAAATTATTAAAGTCTTAAAAATCACAAATCTAATATTTTATTCAATTTATGTAACATTTAAAGGTATATAATATCACTCTGAATTCTCTTAGTTTCAGCGAGGCCATTGTGAAAGTGAAATCTGGATCCGTCGTTATCACCATGATACTGGTTTTTTGTTCTCCTTTAGCCAAACAAGGTGGTTTTACATCCAAACAATACAATGCCATTGCTTGATGCAGTAGAAGTTCGGGTTTATCCTCCTTTGATCCTGAAAGGTATTAAAAACAAATTAAGATTTTTGGTGGATCATAATGAAAAGGAAAAATAAACAACAAAATAAATTAAGTTGTTACCTTCATCTCCCTTCTCAATGACAACGTGACAAGTTGAACATTTCACCTCTCTTTTGGGGAAAAGCTTCAGCGTTGTTTCATGTCCCCATTTCCGGCCATGAGTATCATCGCCTATGAGTTCATGTGATCCTTTGCAGGACCATCTAATAGCATACGCAAATCGAGTGGTTGACCATGATTTCAAATCTAAAAATAAAAAAAAAATAAGGAAAACTTAAGAATTTTTTTAAAAAATATATAGATAAATTATGATAAAAACTTTAAAAATATATAGATATATTACTAGATTATAACTTATAATTTTAAAAGAAACGTCAAACATAGTCACTAAATTTTAAAATTTCTTCATTAAATCGTTAAATACACTATTAATATTTTTTTGAATACGGTCTAGAAATCATTTGAGAAGGCCCTGATCTTTTGCTACCATATCCAATGATCTCACCGGGATAAAAACCACGCTGAAGTTCGCAAAGAGTATCAGAAATCTTTTTCAGCAGTTGGCTTTTAGTAGTAATATCTCTAACAGGTGCTTTGTCCATATCCCAAAACACAGCTGTCAATTGGTTTCGTAACGGACGGGCAAGATGGAATTTTTCATGATTGCTATGACTAGATCAAAATAATATCATGTGAAATCACATAACAACTTTTCGATGAAATTCAAAACTAGTGAATACATGAGAGAGAACTTACAATTGCTCAACACATTGCCACGTAAGGGTCCTTTGGCCATATCAAGGATGTCCCATGCGATATCAGCACTACTTCTAAGTTTGAAGTTAAATTGAACATGTCTCATGGCTAATAGTATTGAGTCTCATGTGCATCATAGGAGTTGCAAAGTTCTTATCCCCCGTAAGGAGAAGTATAATACCTGATTTTTCACAATCTCTGTTACCTAATTTTTCCCGATTTTTTTTTTAATGTCAATTCCCAACAAGATTATTGTTTGTATCCGTAACAAATCTGTCCGATCACTGGTTCTCTGCGATATATGTAAATCTAAAACAAACTAACAAAAAGAGATTTTGTTCATATGATTTTTTGGGAAAAAAAAATCAAGAAAAAATGAAATAATATGTTAAGTACTTCCAAACGTTGGATATGTGGTGAGATGGGAATCACAATAACTACGTCTCCTAAGAAAATCATGGAATTTGATTTGCTGATCAAAACTGGCAGCTTCAGTTTTACATAAGATGTCACTACTTCCAAAAGCAATGATGTCTACCATAAAGTATTTTGGATTATATGCTTGAAGCGCTTGCCTCAAATTGTCTTCTAAATCAGTAGGATAGATAGGCCGGTTGTTCCTTGTGAAAATTTTCATCAGCTAAAACAAGCATTGCATTAGGCTTAGCACTAGGCTAACCAAATATATAACACACTGACACAATACACATACTTAGCGTTTGAGCACAATGGAAACATTATTGTTGTTAGGAAGTGTTGGAATCATCTGAAGCCACTCTTCAAACCATCTTGCATCACTAACAATATATTTCAACCCTACAACCAACGTCTCTAGTATTTTTCCGTTTCTCATCACCACTTCCATGAACGAAGCTATGAGTTTCCACATTGCATCCTTACAATGTATCATCCCACCAAACTCAATTGCGGTAGGAAACACTTCGTATTTTGATCCCCAACATTGTTCCTGATTCAAACCTTGTGACCTAAGATAGCTGTTCACATCACTTTCTTGTAGAGCCTACAAAAAAAATATCACAAAAGCATACCAACACTTGTATTTGTACAAAAATATACATTGGCCCAACAAAAAGTAAAAGACATTGTTCTTGACACGTTCCAAGCCAGTTACTCGTTTGCATGGTCTTGTAAAAATACAAGAAAATGAAAGAGGTTTCTGAGGAAAATACCGGTATGCTGGCCAATCGTGTCGCGTGTGCTATTAGCTTTTTTATCTTAGGTGAATTTTGTAGTAACCTTGCTAAACCAGGTATAACAGATCTTATAAACGTTGTTTTAACAGTCAAAGTTTCAACCTTGAACGTTGGAAAAGGAACACCATGGAGCTCAGCTAGAGATAGAATCTAGCAAAAAAAAAAAACGTTAAAAAGAGTCACTGATGAGCTAATGAAACATAAATCTCTACATTGCAAGAATTTGCGCATATATATGACTTTTAAAAGTTTTTAGACAATCATCAAATAAGCAACGACTTATATAGAAAATTTTAGCTGTCTTTAACTAGAGAATGCAAGAATTGTAAGCAAATATACCTGAAGAGTGGTTCTGGTAAAAGTAAGCCTCTTAGCGTTTTGTAATTTTGCAAGAATATTTAGCACCACGGTTTGAAGAAAATCAGCATTTAGAGGACGTACATAGAAGCATATGTGAATGCTAGCTTCGGCCAACAAAGAAACATCCACTAAAGTACATGGTGTCTCACACCTCCTGATGATAAACCTCAAAGAATGGATGTGAGGCGCTACAATCGCGAATGTCCCTCGACCCGCTCTGTAAACCAGTCTCCTTAAACTACGTGATTTACTCAGATCAAGACGCTGAGGTCCTATACAGTTAGACAATTTCAAGGTTTCAAGAACTGGAGAGCCAGAGAGAATATTTTCAATATATTCTTCAGAGAGACTACAACTCCATAATGTCAACTTCCTTAGGGATTTCCAAAAAACTGTGCATCCAGCAACCGTAGAACGATTATGAATGAGGAGCTCCGTTAAGGAGGAACTAAGATAGAAAAAATCTGGGAAAATATAAGTCTGGTTATTAATACGACAATCAAAGACCAGAGACAACTTTTCCACATTACGGCACACAGCAAACTCTATCCAGCTATTAACCTGGGGTTCACTCATATCTCGTGGCATACGAAGATTCAAACTCATGATTTTCGGAGCCCTGTAAAAACTTAGGGTTTGGTTTATATCTCGAACCGACCTCTCTCCATAAATGCTGAGATTACTAAAGTCGAGACAAGGTGTGTGGCACCATACATGCCTCCATGCTTTGGACAAGGCGGAAGTTCTGATCGCGAACTGAGTTGGAATAAACGAGAGAATATGGTGGAGGATCTCATGTGGCATCGAGCTGACTATATCAACACCATCGCCTGAATGATCCATTGCACAATTTTGATTTTGCGGTGCCTAGCTAGGGTTTCTACTAGTCGTTTCTTCGACGTTTATGATTTGCAACTAATGGCCATATATATATATATATATATATATGTCACAATTGGCTCGTTTCATGATTCATCTAGGGTTTATTTGCAATAATATATAAATAAAATAAATATTGTACGATGTTAGTATTGAGACTTGAGAGTATTTTATCTACTCTATTAAAATAGAGTCATTCTTTTTATCTACTAATACAAGTTGTCATTCAAATTTGGATCATTTCTAGAGTGTTACAAATAATACAAGTCATATTAATTGAACCGTATTACTTAAATTAAACTGGTGGTTATTTATGGGATATAGTCTTGGGCTTACTTTTGTTTTTAGAATAAATTATATGATTTGGATTTTGGGTTTAATATTAAGGAAAAACTCCAAAAAAACATTTAATAAACTTTTCACCTTAATGGATCAAGAAATCAATTATTTTTTCAGGCCCAAGAGGTATTTAATATTTTTAACAAAACAAAATTGTCTATTATTAATCATTTATTTTAATCATGCACTTAAAAACATGATAATGTATTTTTTATTTTAAATAACAATCCCTTTTTTTTGATAAATTCAATGGTAACTTTTAAATAATATATTATTTTATTTTTCTTAAATAATTTACTGATTTAAAAAAAATATGTAAAACAAAACCAAAAACTAAATCTAAAAACTAAAATCCAAAACCAAAAGTTGAAAACGCAGGTTATATTTTTTGCTTTTCTTTATTTACAAAATAAAATAGTGCAATTTTTTTTTTAAAAAAAAAAGCTTTTGTCATCTTTTCAGTTTTAAATTAGATGTTCGATTATTTGAGATTTGTTTGTTGGTAATATCAGTTCAAACTAACTCAGCGGATCTAAAAATTAAAAACTCAAACCAAAAATAGAAACTTAAAAACTAAAACCCAAAAAATCAAAATCTAAAACAAAATCTAAAAATAAAAATTGAAACTAAAAACTAATGAAAAACAATCATCACCACAAATTTTTGGTGAACTGATTTTATACCAAAACATTCTTTAAATTAAGACAAAAACCCAATTATATAATTTTTTTAATCATAAAAAATTTCCGCGCTTTCAAGCGCGGGTTAAAATCTATTATTGTTTTATATTTAACTTTAATTACAACTTACATAATTCGCTTTTCTAATAATATTTAACTAACTAACTAACTCTAAATCACAGTCAAACTAAGCTTTTTTTGTAACATAGTCAAATTAAGCTTGTATATCGTTTATCAGCTAAAAAAAAAAAAAAGTTATGGTTAATCATTCTATTACAAGCAATTATCTTCGAATATATTGTAGAACGCAATGCCTTTCTTCTTCATCACACTGGGAAGATCTTGTAGAAAATGTTCCTAGCAGCAAGGGTAGTTGTCCCTGAGAGAAACTTATTTTTAGATCATTACGGAAACCTTGTCCCTCAGAAAAAAGTGTTGAGGCCAGCTAAATTAAGGAGCTCTTCAAACCCTGTTTCATAAAATATATATATATATATATATATATTCATCAGAAAATAGTGTAAATATATATATTTAAACACACAGAAGAGCATTTATGAAGATCATTTCACAATAGTATAACCTCTCAGTTTGAGTTGCTTTCAGTAAGGATTGGCATAGTGTGGACCTGGAAACGTGTGTAGCTTGAACGTAGGTACGTACGATTTTTACTGGATTATATAATGTGTATAGGTTTACAACTTTGGGTTATGTATATCTCTGTGTGTTAAATCAAAAGCTAGCTCAAAAATATGAAAAATGTCTTGTGTATAAGAGGTTGTCAGTTGACTTGGTTTTGTAAATCTTGATTGATTATCAATTCTAAGCTTTAATAAAAATATGCAATGGTTAAATAACTTAATAAATTTACAAGCAATGGCTAACAATGTCGTGCTGGATGACCTAAAATGTTGTTGCTAAATGCCTAATTGGGGGGGGGGGGGGGGGGGGGGGGGGGGCATTTATTATTGAGTTTCCAAAGCTTCGGAAGTAGATTATAAGATTACAGTCTACATACGGAAATCATGGGTTCAATTCATGAGGTTCAAATTTTAGCTGGGGAGTCTCACAATAATACAAAAAGTAGGTGGAAGGCTGGACGCTGAACACTTATTTTTCGTAGAAGTGTTTAATACTGTCTACTTAAAGCATTATGACACGATAGAGACTGTATGATGTTGTTTTTAAATTAACAACACCAAGTCACCTAATCATATCGTTTTCGTATACATCACTTAGCCATATATGTCTAAAACTATATTTAAGACACTTAACATTTTTTTTTTGAACAACTTATACCTTTTTTTTTTGAGAAATTAAGTACAACTTAAGATACTTACCACTATAATTTATATTATTTATCTTTTTTTATATTTTGAGAACTTCTCATAGAGGTTTTTTACATAACTATGGAGTATTCTTCAACAAAAAAGTTGAGGTAGTACATACATATGTTAACGTATTAAAAGAGTAACCTTCCCTAAAACTGTAACGTACGTAGTTTCAACGTCGTATCGAACATGCTAGACGACTGCTAATAACAGAGGTCGAGTCATTAACTGCAAAGTTTACAACCATTACGGTTTAATACTTACTACCTTTCCGCACCCAACTGCAAAATCTTGGACTAGGGTCAATGATCATTAAAACTCCATACTTACATTTTACGCAGACTCATAAAATTGGATTTTTATCAATTAAATGCAGGTCGGCTCAGATTGGATATGTATCTATATATTACCGTTGGTTTTCTTTTATGAAATTAAAGCACATCTTGTATAGTCTCTTATTACTTAATTACGAATTTTCTTTATGTTCCTATAAATAGCAGAGGACCCAACTAATTAAAGCCAACTTCACAAATTAGAGCTAAAAATGAAAACCATAGTCCACAAGTCGATGATCGCCGGAGTTCAGAGCGTCATGCCGGTGGAAGTGACGCAACAACGTGAAGTCCGTTCTATATCCGTAAAAGATCCCGTCGGAGCGGGAATATTCCGGCGAACACTAAACATAGTTACGTACTACAAGCAATCCGGTGATAGTGGTGAGAGAGGATGGTTAGTCGCCGGTTGGATAAAAGAGTCGTTAGGGAGAGCCTTGACCGAGCAGCCGATGCTTTGTGGTAGACTACGGTGGAGGAGAAAGACGATGGGAGAGGAAGATGGTCTAGAGGTGGTGGCCAATGACAGTGGCGTTAGGCTTGTGGAGGCTAGGTTTCCGGCAAGTTTGCCGGAGTTTTTTGAAGTGGTGAAGAGAGACAAAAACAGAGCTGAAGCAGAGACTGTCTTCTGGAGAGACATTGATGAAGTTGATCCTCAATTCTCTCCGTTGTTCTATGTTCAGGTAACTAATCAGCTTAAAATTATTCATAAGATAAATTAATGATCAATAACATATAGTATAATTTTTTTCTTTCAAGTTAAAGAAAAAGTATATAAAGTAAGTATTCAGAAAAAAAAATAAAAATAGTACAATATAAATTTACATGGTGTAGAGCTATATATTATATATATAACAATAGTAAAACAAACTCAATATTGAATATTGTAGAGCTATATTATACTGATACTCTTTTCATTTTTCACCTTTTAATATGGTTGAGGTTGTTTTTGGTATTTATATGTGTTAATAGGTGACTAATTTTGAGAGTGGTGGATACTCAATTGGGATAAGCTGCAGCATCCTAATAGCTGATATCCTCCTAGAGACAGATTTCTTGACCAAATGGGCTAAAATCCAAAGCTCTTTAGCTAGTTCCCACACAACACACAAACCAATCTTCTACCTCTCACCAGTCAAAAGAGATAAATTCATCAATGAACTTCCTAGGCCAGTCTCGGTTCTTGACCGTGGTGAATCCCTTGTTATCCAGACCAAAACATGCTCGAAAACGCCACTAACATGCATGAAAAAATCTATTAAAGCGACTGAGGATGTATTCTTGTTCTGCAAGGAACAAAGCAGTGGTGAAAATAGTAGTACTGAACGTAAGGTAGAGATACATTCGAGAGATGAAGCGATTGGCGACTGCGGTTGTGGTGGAGATTTGGAAGAGACAGATGTTGGAGAATTACTTGATGTGAGTTTAGGGTTCGAGGACAAGTTTGAATTCAATTCATGTTGGGTTGGGTCTGTGGCAAAAGGGATTGTGCTTATAGTCCCATCTACTTTGGGAGATACCATGTCGCCTTTCAAATGTATTGTTGCAACGCCGAAAAATGCGACTCATTAATATCCGTGGCATTATTACTTAAATTTTAGTGTATGTTTTCTATGGTTAAATAAACTGTTGTCCAACTTTTAATTAAATCGACGATGCTACTATTATAATATATACTCTCTCTATTTCATTATAAGTGTCATTTTAGATTTATACACATAGATTAAGTAAAAAATTAATTTTTTATATTTTCTATATAAAAACATAATTACTTACACACTTAACCATATTTTAACTAATACAAAAATGAATTACACAATAAAATAATAAATTACACTGAAAACCAAAAACGACAGTTACTTATTTTATAACGAAAAAAATTCTCTACAACTAACACTTAATAAGATGAAGAGTGTATAAATATGTTTGTTAGAAGTATTTTCTTCACTATCTTAACGTATTTATCTATCTGAACCAACCATTACCATCTTGAGTTTTTTTTTAAGATTCAATTAATAATAATTAGAATACAAATTAAGAACTTAGGGGAAAGAAACAAAAGAACTAATAATTGAACAGAGTTCACAACATGTTCATACTCGTTCAGTTCAAAGACATAACAACTCCAGAGATTAAATACAAGACAAATGAAAATCATAAAGTGATAACCAAAATCTTTGCCTAAACACGATAAAGAACTACTGACTGGCTCCAAGCCACTTGATGAAGTTATCAAACTCTGTGTAATCCAAAATTTGTGTTTCCTCGGAATTGCTTGGAATGTTCTCGGAATTTACCAAGGAAGACAATATCCGTCGGAATGTCCGTTAGAATCGCGGTGGCTTTTTGTAGTGTAATGAGTAGACACATTACACGAGAGAGACAAGACGCGAAGGTAAGTAAGGCAGAGTTGCAAACACCCAAAATAGTACTAAGTGTTGTGCTTCACTCTCTACCATGTTTTAAAATATATGTAGATCAAATAAAAGTCTGATACAAAATATTTAGCGTTTGAGCACAATGGAAACATTATTGTTGTTAGAAAGTAACTGAAGCATCTGAAGCAATTCTTCAAACCATCTTGCATCACTACCTTTGGGTTTAATACATTCCAACCCTACCACCAACGTCTCTAGTGTTTTTACGTTTCTCATCACCATTTCCATGAACGAAGCCATGAGTCTCCACGTTGCATCCTTACAACTGATCACACTAACAAACTCAAATAAGGTAGGAAATGCCTCATATTTTGATCTCCCGCATCGATCTGGATTCAAACCTTCTGAATCCATATAGCTGTCCAGATCCCTTTCCTGTAGAGAAAAAACGAGTTACCACAAAAGCATACAACACTTGTGATTGTACAAAAATATTATTTTTATATTGAATAATCCTAAAATAAGTTAAAAACATTGTTCTTGCTTTCTTGGCACGTTCCTAGTCAGTTATACTAGTTTGCATTGTCTTATTAATGAAAAGAGGTTTATGCGAGAGAAAAAATACCGGTATGCCGACCAAGCGTGTCGTCGCCTGTGCTGTTAGCTTTTCTAGCTCAGGTGAATTTTGTAATAACCTTCCTAAACCAGGAATAACAGATCTTGTAAACCCTGTTTCAACAGTCAAAGTTTGAACCTTGAATGTTGGGAAAGGAACACCACGGAGCTCGACGAGAGATAGAATCTAGATAGCAAAAAAAAAACGATGAAATGAGCTAATGAAACATATAAATCTCTACATTGCACGAACATACGCATATGGGTTTAAACTTTTTTAAACAATGAAGCCCTTAATCATAAAAAAAAAACAGTGACTCTATGCTAAAAGAAAGCTTTAGCCCTACTCAGTTAACTAGAGAGTGCAACAAGAAGGGTAAGGATATATATATACCTGAAGAACGGTTCCGGTAAAAGTAAGCCTCTTAACATTGTGTAATTTGGCAAGCAATTTTAGCACCATGGTTTGAAGAAAATCAAGTTTCAAAGGAGGGCCGTAATTGTCCACGGCAATGTGAATTTTAGCTTCGGCCAACGAAGAAACATCCACTAAAGTACATGTTCTTTCATTAAAGGTGCGCAAACTCAAATACTGGAGATGTGGCGCTACAATCTCGGTTGGGCCTGCGCCAAAGTAAATCACCAGTCTCCTTAAACTACGTGGTTTACTCAGATCAAGACGCTGAGGTCCTCTACAATATTTCAATTTCAAGGTTTCAAGAATAGGAGAGCCAGAGAGAATATTTTGAATAGATTCTTCTTCACAGAGATTACAGTCCCACAACGTCAACTTCCTTAGGTATTTCCAAGACACTGTGCATCCGGCAACCTTGGAAGGATAATGAATGCAGAGCTGCGCAAAGGAGGAACTAAGATAGAAAGAATCCGGGAAACTATAAGTCTGGTTATTGAAGACCAAAGTCAACTTTTCCACATTACGGGACACAATAAACTCGATCCAGCGATCAATCTCGGGTCCACGGACATATCGAGGGATACGAAGATTGAAACTCGTGATTTTCGGAGGCCTGTAAAAGCTTAAGGTTTGATTTATATCTCGAGCCGTCAGCTGTCGCCTACCATATCTATCGAAACAATCAAAGTCGAGACAAGGTGTGTGGCACCATACATGCCTCCATGCTTTGGACAAGGCGGAAGTTCTGATTGTTGGAGCAAATTGAAGAACAAGAATGTAGGAGATGGTGGAGTTTGAACGTGTCTTTGTTGTTTTAGCGTAGTCAATAAGTAACGAGTCTTTAGGCTCAAGTTACGATGGTTGTTAGCTTATCCTGTTAGCTTAAGTTTCGGAGTTGTTTGTTTCAGTTGCAGGCTATATAAAGCCTTTTATGTTTAATGAATAAATNGGAGTTTGAACGTGTCTTTGTTGTTTTAGCGTAGTCAATAAGTAACGAGTCTTTAGGCTCAAGTTACGATGGTTGTTAGCTTATCCTGTTAGCTTAAGTTTCGGAGTTGTTTGTTTCAGTTGCAGGCTATATAAAGCCTTTTATGTTTAATGAATAAATCAGAGTTTTCAGAACAATTTTCAGAGCTTTATACATTACAAAGTGGTATCAGAGCTCTGTTTTAAAACTCAAAAGCCGTAGCTTTCAATCAAATTGTGAGAGATGGGAGATGACAAGATGAAACTGCCTCAGTTCGATGGGCATTGGGATCACTGGAGTGAGGTGATGGAGAACTTCTTTCGCGCCAAGGGACTATGGCCAGTGATTGAAACCGGGTATGAGGAACCAACAATCACAACCGCCTTAACAGCCGAGCAGAGGGAGCAGCTAGACAACGCCAAAACAAGTGACCACAAGGTCAAACACTACCTTTATCAATCCATTGATAGGGTAACGTTTGAACAGATCCTGGATAGGAAAACATCAAAGATCATTTGGGAGTCCATGAAGAAGAAGTTTGGTGGAAACGATCGTGTGAAGAGATCATTGCTGCAAAAACTCAGGAGAGATTTTGAGTTACTTGAGATGAAAGAAACTGAGAAGGTGGAAGAGTACTTTACAAGAGTTCTAGCCATCACCAACCAAATGAGGAGTAATGGAGAAGAAATGCCAGACCTGAAAGTAGTGGAGAAGATCCTCAGGACCTTAAGCGAGAAATTCATGTATGTGGTAGTTTCCATAGAGGAATCAAAAGAAATCGGAAACATCACGTTGGAGGAGCTACAAAGCTCACTGGTGGTTCACGAACAGAAATTTAGAAGACCAGAGAAGGAAGAAGACAAGTTGTTACTTGTGAACCAAGGAAGAGGAACTGGGAGCAGAGGAAGAGGTTTCAGTGGAAGAGGAAGAGGAAGAGGACGTGGTCGTGGGTTCACCAACAAAAGTACCGTTGAATGCTACAAATGCCATCGACTTGGACACTTTCAATACGAGTGTCCAAAATGGGAGGAAGAAGCTAACTACGCTGAAGAAAATGAGGACATGCTGTTGATGGCTTATGTTGAAGAAGAAGAGATCGATGAAGAAGTGACCACAGATCTATTACTAATGACTCGCTCTGAAGCTCGAGAACCGGTGAGAAAGATTTCTTGGTTCTTAGACTCAGGTTGCTCAAACCACATGAGTGGGGACAGAGAACTGTTCTCAGCAATGGATGATAAGTTCAAACACTCGGTCAAATTAGGCAACAACAAGAAGATGGAAGTTGTTGGTAAGGGAAATGTGAAGATAGTGCTGAGAAACACGTCCTACACCATAAGTGATGTCTTCTATGTTCCAGAACTCAAGAATAACCTCCTAAGTCTGGGACAACTGCAAGAGAAGAACATCACAATCATCATTCAGAAGGGGATATGTAAGATCTACCATGATGAAAGAGGATTATTAGCTGAAAGCAAAATGAGTATAAACAGGATGTTTATATTGACAGACCAAACCGGTGATGGTGAGAGAGCAAGACAACACTGTTTCCAGACAGCTTCAGAAGACATACCAAAACTGTGGCATGAACGTTATGGGCACCTCAGTCATCGTGGGATGAAGACGCTGCAGAGAAAAGAAATGGTACACGGACTTCCTGCATTTGACACTCAGAGCTTCACATGCTCTGATTGCTTGGTGGGGAAACAATCACGGAACCCCATCCCTAAGAAGAGCACATGGAGATCCAAAGAAACACTTGAGCTACTGCACTCGGACATTTGCGGACCCATCACTCCTATGTCTGCCAGTGGGAAGAGATATATCCTATGTTTCATAGATGACTATAGCCGCAAGGCTTGGGCGTATTTCTTAAGTGAGAAGTCAGAAGCATTTTCTCAATTCAAGTTGTTTAAAAAGAAGGTGGAGACTGAGACTGGAAGGAGCATAAAAGGGTTGCGAACGGATAGGGGAGGAGAGTACACGTCTCAGGAGTTCTCAGACTTTTGTAAGGAGCAAGGAATCAGAAGACAACTTACTGCAGCCTACACACCGCAGCAAAACGGTATTGCAGAGAGAAAAAATAGAACAGTAATGAATATGGTCAGATCACTACTCTCAGCCAAGAAAGCACCGAAGTCTCTGTGGCCAGAAGCTGTAAATTGGACATTCTATGTCCTAAACCGTTGTCCCACTCTTGCTGTGAAGAACATAACACCTCAAGAAGCTTGGAGTGGAGTCAAACCAAGTGTAGAACACTTTCGAGTATGGGGAAGTCTTGGTCATGTCCACATATCAGATGCAAAACGAACCAAACTTGACGACAAGAGCGTGGTATGTGTTCTTATTGGTTTCTCTGAAGAATCAAAAGCATACAGGCTCTACAACCCAAAGACAAAGAAGATTGTAGTAAGCAGGGATGTTGTATTTGAGGAAAAGAAGGGGTGGAACTGGGAAGAAGAACAAGACTATCAACCAGAGTCTGTTCTTACTTGGAGTGATGACAATGTGAGTTGGGAAGACAGTGAAGAAGAAGCAAGTGACAATGAAAATCCTGCAGCAGTACCAGAACAAGCCAACGAGCCAGAACAACCTGCAGAGGTTGCAGAAGATGTTCACAACGAGCAAACAGTACAAACCAGGGAGGGTAGAAGAACAAGGCGTCCACGTTATCTGAATGACTATGTCACCGGAAGCGCAGCGATGGATGATGAAGATGAAGTTCATATGGTCAATATGGTGGAACTCAATACTACTGATCCATCCACCTTTGAAGATGCAGAGAAAAGTTTGAAGTGGAGAGAAGCCATGGATGAAGAAATGAAATCAATCGTGAGGAATCAGACTTGGGAGCTCTCAAGCCTACCTGATAAAGCTAAGTGCATTGGTGTGAAATGGTTATACAAAACCAAACTCAACGAGAATGGTGAGGTGAGTAAATTCAAAGCTCGCTTAGTGGCAAAAGGGTACTCTCAAGAGCATGGGATAGACTACACAGAGGTGTATGCTCCTGTTGCTAGGATGGACACCATCAGAACCATTCTCGCTACAGCTGCACAGAGAGCTTGGGAAGTGCATCAACTAGACGTGAAGTCTGCTTTCCTCCACGGTGTACTTGCAGAAGAAGTATATGTGCAACAGCCGAAAGGATATGAAGTAGTGGGGCAGGAAGACAAAGTTTACAAGCTCCACAAGGCGTTGTATGGGTTGAAACAAGCACCAAGGGCTTGGTTCAGTAGGATTGAAGACTACTTCGTCAAGGATGGGTTCATAAAGTCACAAAATGAAGAAACTCTGTTTTTAAAAACAGAACACGGTAATACTTTGATCGTAAGTGTTTATGTTGATGATCTCATCTACACAGGAAATAACCTCAAGATGATGGAAGAATTCAAGAAGTCTATGCAAAGAGAGTTTGACATGACTGATCTGGGGAAGATGAAGTATTTCTTAGGCTTTGAAATACTGCAGACACCACATGGCATTCACATCTGTCAATCAAAGTATGCTCAGGAGATTCTGAAGCGCTTTGATATGGAGAATTGCAACTCAGTGTGCAATCCTATGGTCCCTGGAAGTAAGATGGATATGGATGAAGAAGGAGAGCGAGTTGATGAGACGTTCTACAAACAGATCATTGGTAGTCTCATGTACATCACCAATACAAGACCAGACCTGCAATTTTCAGTAAGTCTCCTGAGCCGTTTTATGTCAAAACCTACACAACTTCATGTTCAAGCGGCTAAGAGAGTATTGAGATACTTAAGAGGAACTATAGACTTTGGAATCTGGTACAAAAGAGAAGGCAACGGAGAGCTACAAGTCTACACAGATAGTGACTTTGCTGGGGATATTGAGAGCAGAAAAAGTACTTCGGGATATGTATTTTTGATGGATGGTGCTGCAGTTGCTTGGCTTTCAAAGAAGCAACCAATAGTTACTCTCTCAACTACAGAAGCTGAATACGTTGCAGCATCAGTTTGTGCTTGCCAAGCTGTGTGGTTCAAGAGGATACTGGAAGAGTTGGGACATCACATTCGAGAAGGAACAACCATTTGGTGCGACAACACATCAACAATTAAACTGTCAAAGAATCAAGTGTTTCATGGAAGGTGCAAGCACATTGGAGTCCGTTTTCACTTTCTACGTGAGCTGGTTAATAATGGAGAGATAAGTCTGGAGCACTGCGGATCACAGGAACAGGTAGCTGACATTCTAACAAAGCCTTTGAGACGCGAAGTGTTCGAGAATCTGAGGAACAAGCTGGGAATTTGCTCAGTAGCTGATAAGCTAAGCCTTGTGAAACAAGCTTAGTTTAGGGAGGGTTTGTTGGAGCAAATTGAAGAACAAGAATGTAGGAGATGGTGGAGTTTGAACGTGTCTTTGTTGTTTTAGCGTAGTCAATAAGTAACGAGTCTTTAGGCTCAAGTTACGATGGTTGTTAGCTTATCCTGTTAGCTTAAGTTTCGGAGTTGTTTGTTTCAGTTGCAGGCTATATAAAGCCTTTTATGTTTAATGAATAAATNGGAGTTTGAACGTGTCTTTGTTGTTTTAGCGTAGTCAATAAGTAACGAGTCTTTAGGCTCAAGTTACGATGGTTGTTAGCTTATCCTGTTAGCTTAAGTTTCGGAGTTGTTTGTTTCAGTTGCAGGCTATATAAAGCCTTTTATGTTTAATGAATAAATCAGAGTTTTCAGAACAATTTTCAGAGCTTTATACATTACACTGATCGCGTACTGAGTTGGAATAAACGAGAGAATATGGTGGAGAATCTCATGTGGCATCGAGCTGATCATATCAACACCATCGACTGATGAAGGATCCATTTGCACTTTTGATTTAATTTTGCGGTGCCTTAGCCAGCAGCTAGGGGTTTCTACCAGTCCCCTATTCGGTTTATGATTTGCAACTAAGGTATATATATATATATGTGGCACAACAACCACCTCCTTTCATCTAGCTAGGGTTTATTTGCTTGGTTACAGTAAACCTTGGGAAATTTTGTACTAATAAAATAAAAAATAATGTACGCTGTTGTTTGTAGTAGTATTATATTATTTAAATACTTATATAATTCACTTCTCTCAAAATATTATACTATTTTAAATACTTACATAATTCACTTTTCTCAAAATATCAACTACTAAATTCTGAATCACAAATATCAATTCATGCTCTCCAATATTTGAGAGAAGCCTATATCCTGACCGACATCAGATTTGTTTTTTTTTCTGTCTTTTGTTTTCCATTATACAAGTTTCATCTTGTTTATTGGATTAATAAGTTTTTTTTGTTAAATGGTTAATATCATATAAAATGACAAGGTCCTGATTGCAACTTATAAATCTTAGAAGCTTTAAGACCTTGGCAGAAAAAAAAAAAGAAGCAAATCAGATTAATGAGATATGAATTAGTGTCTAACTAACCAAATAACACACTGATACAGTACGCATACTTAGCATTTGAACACAATGGAAACACGATTGTTGTTAGTAAGTGTTGGAATCATCTGAATAAGTCGTCAAACCATCTAGCATTACTATAGTATAACCTCTCAGTTTGAGTTGCTTTCAGTAGGGGGGGGGGACATTTATTATGAATATCCAAAGCTTCGAAAGTAGATTATAAGATTACAGTCTACATACGGAAATCATGGGTTCAATTCATGAGATTCATATTTTAGCTGGGAGTCTCACAATAATACAAAAAGTAGGTGAAAGGCTGGACGCTCAACACTTATTTTTTTGTAGAAGCGTTTACTGTCTACTTAAAGCATTATGACACGATAGAGTTAGAGACTGTATGATATTGTTTTTTTAATTAACAACACCTAGTCACCTAATCATATCGTTTTCGTATACATAATTTAACTATATTTAAGATACTTAACACTATAATTTATACTATTATTTATCATTTTTTTATATTTTGAGAACTTCTCATAGAGGTGTTTTTACATTACTATGGAGTATTCTTTAACACAAAGTTGAGGTAGTACTTTAATCCAAAAAACAAAATTGAGGTAGTACATACATATGTAACTTACGTAGTTATTTTTTTAGCTAAAAGTGTAACGTACGTAGTTTCAACGTCGTATTGAACATCCACACATGCTAACTTCGTCCAGTCATTAACTGCAACGTTTACAACCATTACGGTTTAATACTTACCTTTCTGCACCCAACTGCAAATCTTGGACTAAGCTCAACGATCATTAAAACTCCGTACTTACATTTTACGTAAACTCATAAAATTAAAGAAATTGTATAGAGAATATTTGTAAAATGGTTTCAATTAAATGCAGGTCGGCTCAGATTTGATATGTATCTACATAATACCGTTGGATTTCTTTTATGAAATTAAAGCACATCTCGTACAATATTGTATGTTTAACAGGCCCTGGTTCTCCATGACGAGAAGGTGTTACGTTTTTAGGGGAAAGAAACAAAAGAACTAATAATTGAACAGAGTTCAAAACATGTTCATACTCTTTCAGTTCAAAGACATAACAACTCCAGAGATTAAATCCAAGACAAATGAAAATCATAAAGTGATAACCAAAATCTTTGCCTAAACACGACAGAACTACTGACTGGCTCCAAGCCACTTGGTGAAGTTATCAAACTCTGTGTAATCACTGTCAGAGATCATAGTCTGGTACCACGCCTTCCCTGCAGCTTTAATAGCTTGTGACTCCTCCTAGAGAAGAAAGAAGACAGCAAAATGGTTAAGAAATGAGACATCTTTGTGATTATAAATCGCAACAAAATGAGACAATGAAATGTTCACAAAAGAACATGAGCTTCTCTCCAAAACAAATCTTCATCAACTGAAGAACACTTACAACAAATCACACAGCTTATTTACAATGCAAACAAATTCAACAGAAGATAAGACACTATCAACAGAGGATGAACGGATGAGCAAAAAAATAAAATCAACCATCTACCAGAAGTGACTTAAATTCCTATACCAAACTTCAAACCAACTTAGTAACGTGCAGTGGAAAGTACTAAACAAACTTTAACCAAAAGGTATAGAGAAAGGAGAGCATTGAGTTTACCTTAGTGACGGGTTTCCTCTTCTTCTCAAGCTTCTCCTTCTTAGACTTAACCCTTTGCGCTTCAGCCAACAAAGACATCCTCTTTGCCGTCTTAGCATACGGATTCAACTTAAGCATCACATTAAGATTCTTCAACGGATTCTTCTTCATCACAGCTCTCTTCGCATCCTTCTTAATCGGCTTCACAACACTCTGAACCTCATCAGAGTTAATAATCCTAGCCAAATCAGCATTCACCATCTTAGCACGAGGCAAAACATAACCTTTCTTCATCTCAGACGGCTTCTCAAACGATCCATAAATAGACTCAAGCTTCTCAAAAGCAGACTTAGTCCAAATCACAAACCTACCAAGATGACCACCAGGAGCTAACTTCAACAAGTTAAGCCTCGTCACATGACAAAGCTCAACACCAGTAATGTTCCTAAACGCTTTCACAATCTTAGCTCCTTCGGTTCCGTACACAACAAGAGGACCTTTCCTAGAGATATAACGACGGTTCCTCGCTTTACCTTTCCCAGGACGGATCCCAATACTATCCTTAGCCTTCTCCGCGTCATCATAAGCACCGATCTGCTTCAAAACCTTGATAGCAGCTGAAGTCTTCTCCACGGCCTCAGCTGAATCGCTAACGACAAGAGGCATCTCGGGGACATTCTCGATCTTGTGACCACGTGCCATCACGAGCGCGGGAACAGCTGTTGCGGCGATGGCTGAGACGATCGCGTGTCTCTTCATGTTGACGTTGACGCGACGGTGCCAGCGTCTCCAGATCTTAGTCGGAGCGAACATCCGTCCACCGCGACACATGTTTCCGAAGGCAGCTTGTCCGGCGCGGTGTGTTCCGCCACCGGGAACACGGGGGATACGAGAGACGGCACGTCCTGTTCCCCATGACTCGGCGGAGGTCTGGTGACCGGCTTTCTTTGAGACGGCGTAGGGTTGGCGGCTGTTTTTGGAGATCTGGTGGTGGACGAAGTTGACGACGTCTGGTCTCACGGGTGCGGTCATGACGTCTGGTAAGCAGACGGTGGTGGATTGGTCGGTGGACATGTCACCGTCTAGTCCTTGGACGGTGACTAGCGGGCGTGCGGCGGCGGCTGCCATTGTTTTGGAGTGAAAATGGATTTGGGATTGAGGCTGTGCGTTAGGGTTTCTGGCGAAATATATAGTTAAATTGTTGAAGTATATATTGTCTGAAAATCTATTGTCTGAAAAGCCCACAGGCCCAAATTTAATAGAATACAACTTGTGTTTTATTAGGCCTTTCCTCAAATTTTACTGGGCTATTGAACGAGTTGAAAACTGAAGATTTTATATGTATACAAAGCGTAGGTTATGGTATGTACTTTTTTTTGTGTTATGACATCGAAAAACTATTTCATTTCTAATTTGCATCCACTTGACCAGGGGTTAGCCAACTTGGTGCAAAGTGCAAACCATAGAGTATGTTGCATTTTACTATGGTGTCTTTTTAGTATATAGTCGTCTCTAATAGAGTATGTTGCCTTTTACTTGGTAGAGAAAGCTTCTGAACATTCTGAAATTATGCTACAAAACATTTAAATTTCTAAGTTCCAGTGATATTTTAAACAAGATCTTCTAACGATCCAACTTAACTTCGTAGCCAAAAGGCATCAAATGCTTTAATGAAAGTTGAAACTTTTATTAGATTCATTGAAGCTAAAGTCTGAATATAGAACAGAGGCAATAATTCTTTTGTAAACAGAACTAGAATCCATGTTTTGGTGCGAAAATCCTTTAGAGACAATTAGTCACTCAAACTTCAACCAAGAACTAGCTAGCAGTAACATAGGTCAATCATTACCTTACATAGAGAACCATGAATCATAATGTTTGATTACTCCTCGTCGTCTGAACTCTCCTCACTGCTGTATTCACTGCTATCATCCTCCAAAATATCAAGCTGAACCTCTCGTACATGTATGACATCAGGCGGCCTATGAAGTCCCTGAGGAGGCCGCATCTGTTGCTGCTCCTGGGCAGCTCTAGGCGCAGGAACCAACTCAGGAGGTAACACAACAGGGTCTCCCGGTTTCCACCCCGGAGGTGGAGCTGGCAAACGCCAATCTTTCGGCAGTTCCACCGGCATTCCCGGTTTCCACCCCGAAGGAACTGCGATATTCGGTGGAAGCAGGCCCTGAATTGCAGAAAGATCTGGAGGTGGTGGTGGTGGCTCCATGAGTGCTTCAACCTTCTTCTCAACGTTCTCAACGGTTTTCGGTAGACCGATGTCGAGATCAGCGAAGGTGTAAAGCTGAGAAGCTCTCATTTGCTCGTCTTGTGGAGCTGGTGGTAATGCTCCACGGAGAGGAGCTTGCCCTGCACCGAACTCTGGTGGAGCAAATGTTGTGTAGCTTATCTTGTGAGCGTATGCTAAGATGTCCTTAAGCTTGAGCTGAGAAGTTACTGTGGTGGTAACAGAGGATGATGAAGAAGACTCATTGTCGTCATCATCATCTTCGTGTGTTTTGCTTCGTTTTGGTTTGCGGTAATCGGAGTAATCGTCAACGAGCATATCGAGAACGCGTTCAGCTTCTTTGAGCTTATTAGCGAAGGCGAGAAGAGATGAATCTTTGGATTTGATCTCACGCGCGAGCTTCTGCTTCGCGTCCTGGAGATCGAGGATCTCTTGAAGCTCCGTAACGGCTTCGAAGAGCTGCGTCTGGAGGGAATTGAACAGAGAGAGGATCTCCTTTGTGGACGAAGGATTAGGGATTTCGAGCGGCGGAGGTGGAGGTAACGAGTGCGAGGAGAGGAACGAAGGGAGAGAGCCGCGGAAAGCGGAGAGCCAGTGCGCGCGATTGGGAGAGACGTCGAAGAGCTTAGATGTTAAAACCGCCATCTGCTGGAGGAGAGCTTGCGCTCGGGGTAAAGGAGGAAGGAGCGATAGCAAAGCGGACGAGGAGATAGCCGCTGAAGATGAGGATGTGGCTGCGGAGGAGGAAGGTGGGAGGTTAGGAGGTTGTTGGATCTGTTGGTGGTGGTGAGATTGGGAGGATGAAGAAGAGGTTGGATGACCATGACGAGAAGGAGTTAGATTTTGTACGGAAGGAGAGCCAGGGCCTGTTAACCCTAATCTCGCCGGAGATTGACCGATCTGATGCTGTAGCATCCTCGCCGTCGGCGGAAAATAGAGAGCAATACAAGGAAGAACTTCCTTTAGTATAACCCGAATTTTTAAAACCTTCAGAGCGAGGCAGAGGCTTTCTATAGTCCCTCTTGAACGGTACCGATACAATCCTTTTCTGGTTACCCTTAACCGGGCTTTCGAATATTACGAGAGGCTGGATGCTACAGATACAAACAGCAGTCGAGTTTAGTGGCACTTGGTATCTGATATATTATTGCCTTTGGTTTCAGTATATGTATGACCAAAAAAATACAATGTAACTATAGATTACAAAACGCATGAACAAATAAATAGATATCATTCTTTTTTACTACATAACACACATTGATAAATCCACATATAAGAGCTACCATTCACCGAACTGGTTCTCACCAAAACTGCCATAATCCCCTCTTGGTCAGTTATGTTCTCCTCAGACAACAACCGTAAGCAGCATCTGCACAATCCACCAAATGTAGAGAGATTAGATAGCCAAGTAGAAAGCTCGTTAACCAAAATTTTAGGGGATGAGATCAAAACCACACTTACTTGCTAGCTGATAGACAGTTGTTGTGAGCAAGAAGTCCTCAAGAGGATATATCACTTGTTTGGTTCTTGACCAGGGGTCCCACACTACAGCTAAGAGCTTAATTGTTCAGGACCTTCCCCTGCAGCATCAGAGTATTCAGACTATTTCAAGGTTAATTAAATCTCTTGCAAGAAAATCAATCCAGAATTCAGCAGTTCATGTGTGTAATATATATCTCACAATTCACAAAGCAATCAATCCTCATTTTAGCCATTACAATTTTAAAGAAGTAACACACATCAAGACAGAATTGGACTTTTTTCCAACAGTTTAGCCCAACTTATTTATAACGAGATGGAAGTTATGATCAACTTAACACTTACAGCAGGTTCGAAGTCAGGGTTTGACAAGTTCACTGTGAGGTTTCTCATTAATAGCAGAACCTGCAAGGCATACTGCGATTAGTGAAGGGCACTACAAGCACTGACAGAAACAAATTGGCACCGGGAAAAGAAAAACTGAGCCAATGCTGTAAAAACCCATTATTTGGCCAACATCTCCATCGGATACAAATCAAAATTGAAACAAACTCTATAGATGCATGCTTTATTAGTTTCAGCTGTCAGAGAGGGTTATTATGAAGATCAGTTCTTGTATGGAGGGTAAAAACACAACGCTAGAGTATGGTTGCAAATAGACGTAGGGAGCTCAAAGAGAAAGTAGAGTTCAAGACACGCCTAACTGATGAATATATCAGTGTCACAACATCATTTTACTTAAAAACAATCAAGAGAATTCTAACTCACAGTCTCGAAATTTATAGGATCCATTTCCTTGAGCTTTTTCATGCGGCCTTTGCTGTCAGGATCGAAGACACTCCCAATGAAGTTATAAACTTCAGCAAAATCAGGAAGACCTGCAAAACAACCATCAGAACAATTTATACGATAGAACAAAAACCCTGAAGTAGTTCCGCAATTGTTTGAAATAATTACCGTGCATTGAGGGAGCTTGATTCGCTGGTCTTAGACACTTGGAATCTGACAGTGTTCTGCTTGAGCTTCCTACACCAGATGCTGAAGGACTAACCCCACTTGTTGAGTCATTCGATTCAATAACATCTGAAACAATTAACATATTTAGCATATGAACCTCATTAGGTGGAGCAACTCGACAGGCAAGCAAAATACAAAAAAAAAAAAGAGTACAAATGAGAATGCATGCCTTCTCCTCCACAAAGAGTAGTAAGTTCATCTTTTGGTAGAACAACCTCGCTTACGGCTATGTTAAGCAATGCAGAGGTATCATCATCCCATGAAGTATATCCAGGCACGTTACTTATTTGAGTAGGAAAGGACATGGAAACATGAAGCGACATTTGAGCTGCAAACAATTGAGTTTAGTTCAGATTTGAGTATATCTTAACTTTCATATCTCCGCTCAAAGTAATTTCTATCATAATAAAACTAACCATTCTTAGATGCCTTTTGAGGATATGGATGAGCAGCTTTGCGTTTAGGCCTAGGGGGTGGCACGTGTGCTAAAGTCCCGTTTTTCTGGACCTTCAAAAAGTATTTTTGGGCATGGCTCCTGATCTGTTGTACATCAAGTAGGCACACAAAGATTGAGTGGGGAAACAGGCCAATGTATTCTATTATTAAACCCAAAATCCAAAGCAGCAGGATCTCAAACCTGAATTACTGTCTTTGAACCAATAAAATCTTCAATCTTTTTCCAGTCACGATCGAACCTAAGGACCCAAGAGAATTGTCAGAGACACCAGATAAGTAGCATCAGCAACATATATGTCTGAATAAAAGACATAGGCTTTTGCAATAAAAATCCCATCTGTTGAAACATGTTGGCAACCTAAGATGACAAAGTAGCTTCTGAAAAATCATTTTGACATTCATCTGAAACTCGAGGCAAAGATTCAAATGATCTACTACAAAACAAAATTTGATCTTAACATAATATTTTATCCGAAGGTCCAAATTAACAAATCGTTTAGGTCAGAACACAGAACCAAACCAAACATACAAGCTTTGTCTGTTTAGTGTATTAAACACACAAACTAAGAAGAAATGAAACAAATCTAAGTAAATCAGTAAACCAAATCCATGGTGGGAGAAGAGAGAGAGAAAGAGATTTTTACAATTGAAGAGCTTCGAGAAACTTGTCGTGTTCTCCTTCAGTCCAACTCTCTCTGGACTTGGTGATGGTGTAAGCTTTCCTCACCTTCTTCTCCGGAGCTTCCGAAGTCACCGTATTCGTCGTAGTTGTCTCAGTAAGATCTGCAGAAGGTATTTCTTCAGCAACCACCGGATTGCTTGACAGCGACGACGAAGTCATCGTTTTTTCTCAAGATAGCGATCGTTTGATGAGAGAGAGAGAGAGAGAGTGAAAAGAGAGAGATGACGATTATACTCCACATGGCGGGCAAGAAGTTGGTGATAAATATGTGGAGACGCTTCGCTTCGAATTTCAGACCATCCATTTATTTCCCCTTTTCTTTATTTTATTTAATTTTAAAATCATTTTTGTCTTTCGATGTTAAACCGGTCCGGTTCAGAAGTTGGAAGATCAGCCTCTCAAATCCAATCCAATCCAAAAAAATAAATTAAGAAAAAAAATAAAATAAAAAGCAGAGAGAGTGAGCCACAGTGATGAAGATGATGATGAGATTCTTAACCGTTAGCGAGGAATGAGAGACCTTGTCATCGTCTTCCCCTCCTCCTCCTCCGTCATAACCAATCCTCACCACCACCATCACCGCCGCCGCTACGCCACCGCACCGGACCACAACCGTAAAACTAAATTTACTTCTTCTCTCACCAAGCAACCACCGCCGCCGACTTCACTTTCCTCGTCGAATCCTCTCTCAACTCACTTCCCTGACTCCGCCGTGAAATGGACCCCAGACGGCTCCGTAGAGTATTACGCCGATTTCGCCTCGAAGCTCGCCGAGGACGGACGAATACAAGACGTGGCTCTCATCGCCGAGACCTTGGCTGCAGAGTCCGGAGCCAATGCGGCGCGATTCGCTTCGTTGGTTGATTCTCATCTCTTAACGAAAGGGATACAGTTGAATCTTCGACAAGGGAAGGTTGAGAGCGTTGTTTATACTTTGAAGAGAATTGAGAAGGTAGGGATTGCTCCGTTGGATCTCGTTGATGACGCGTCTGTGAAGTTAATGAGGAAACATTTTCGCGCAATGGCTAACTCTGTGCAAGTTGAGAAAGCTATTGACTTGATGGAGATCCTTGCTGGTATATACTATATGAATCTTGCTGTTACATTCTGCTATTTAAACCAGATTTTGAACCTCGGCTGACTGATATATTACAGGCTTTAGCTTCAAGATCAAAGACCTTGTGGATCCCTTTGATGTCATCAAGATTTGTGTTGATATTTCTAATCCCCAGTTAGCTCTTAGGTAAGGATTGTTTTGGTCTCCTCACACAATTATTTAGTTTGATGGTTCTAAATCGAGTGTGTGTGTGCTAATGATTTGATGAATATGCAATGCAGATACGCTTGTCTTTTGCCGCATACAGAGATATTGCTTTGTAGAATTATTCTTGGTTTTGGGAAGAAAGGAGATATGGTCTCTGTAATGACAGCATATGAAGCCTGCAAAGAGATTTTAGATGCTCCTAACATGTATATATACCGAACTATGATAGATGTTTGTGGCCTGTGTGGTGATTATGTCAAATCGAGGTACATATATGAGGTAATTCCCTGATTATACAACCTTTTTACATAAGCATCCTTTAAATGGAACATTAAGTTGCAACTATAGAAGTCACTTTTGTCTGTGATACTGCGTTGAGGCTTGACGTTTACTCAAATACTTGTGGCAGGATCTTCTGAAAGAAGACATTAAGCCAAATATTTTTGTTATGAACAGCCTAATGAATGTTAATTCCCATGATCTTGGGTACACACTAAAAGTATACAAGAATATGCAGGTGTGTTCTCCTTTCTCGCTTGATAACACTATCTAATTTATGTGAAAAGATATGGAGTAGGTGAATTGTCCTAGATAGTTTTCTGAATTGGTAGGTGGTATTTTGATGTTGGTTCTAGATATGATTAGGTGAAATGTTTCAGATTTAGGAGTGCGTATTGACTGACCTTCAATTTCTACATGTCATGAGCAGAAACTTAATGTTACAGCTGACATGACATCGTACAACATACTACTGAAAACATGTTGCCTGGCTGGACGGGTTGATCTCGCCCAGGACATATACAAAGAAGCTAAGCGAATGGAATCCTCTGGACTTTTGAAGTTGGACGCCTTTACATACTGTACCATTATAAAGGTATAGTATTAGCATGTTTGGGAAACTAAGGCTAAATTTATTTATTTTGTATCCCTTGAGCTTTAATAATGCCTCGAGATCAGGTTTTTGCAGATGCAAAGATGTGGAAAATGGCTCTAAAAGTCAAAGAGGATATGCAATCTGTTGGTGTAACCCCAAATACACATACATGGTCATCGTTAATCAGCGCATGTGCCAACGCAGGTTTAGTAGAGCAGGCAAATCACCTATTTGAAGAAATGCTTGCATCTGGTTGTGAGCCCAATTCTCAGTGTTTCAACATCTTACTGCATGCTTGCGTTGAAGCTTGCCAGTATGACCGAGCCTTTCGTCTTTTTCAATCTTGGAAGGGAAGCTCATCAAAGGAAGCCTTATATGCAGATGGTATAGTTAGTAAAGGTCCCGGGTCTTTGGTTAGAAGCAATTCTTCACCTTATATCCAAGCTTCGAATAGATTCTTCTTCAAGCCAACAACAGCTACATATAATATACTCTTAAAAGCCTGTGGCACGGATTACTATCGAGGAAAAGAGTTGATGGACGAGATGAAGAGCCTAGGTCTTGCACCTAATCAAATAACATGGTCGACTTTGATTGATATATGTGGAGGTTCAGGCGATGTAGAAGGTGCTGTACGGGTTAGTCAGTCAACTCTTCTCTTGCTTTTCTGACATTGTATCATTTTAGGGATTTATGCAGAAATGTTATAAGTTCCCTAACAGAAATTCTTCTTCCAGCACAGATTTTGAGAATTATGCATTCAGCTGGAACCAGACCTGATGTTGTTGCCTACACAACAGCTATCAAGGTATTGACATCTCTGTTAGTGTTGCTGACATTTCTGCCTCGTTCTCAGTTATCGCTCATCTCAGAGGTGTAAAGATTCAACATATTATCTTGCAGATTTGCGCGGAAAATAAAAGTTTAAAGTTGGCATTTTCTTTGTTCGAGGAGATGAGGAAATATCAGATAAAGCCAAACTGGGTAACTCTCCTTGTTGAATGGCTTTATTGCTTTTTTCTCCCTTTTATCTACCAGCTTCTCCAGATATGAAGTTCTTAACTGCTGTATACTTTAGCCCACGGTAATATGATTTGACCGTTTATCCATCACACCATCTTAGGGAGAATCAGCAGATTTGAATTAAGCATATTAAGTCTTGTAGCTAACAGTACGGACTACATAGGACAGGAGAAGCAGTTTCTCAATTGATTTGAACATTTCTGATACTAGAAAGTTGTTTCTCAGGTGACCTATAATACGCTTCTCAAAGCACGAAGCAAATATGGCTCTTTACTTGAAGTGCGGCAATGCTTAGCCATATATCAGGACATGCGAAAAGCAGGGTAAGCGCAATCATCTACTTTTATTTCTCGTCTTGATCGTTCTGCATCTTTAGATAAGTGAAGAGACGTTCCTCTTTTCTCACAAGCAAAACCACTATACTGCAGGTACAAACCTAACGATCGCTTTCTCAAGGAACTTATTGAGGAGTGGTGTGAAGGAGTAATTCAGGAAAACAGCCAAAGCCAAAACAAAGCAAGTGACCAGGAAGGTACGTACTTTGGGAGACCTGTTAGTCTACTCATTGAAAAAGTAGCTACACACTTGCAAGAGAGAACATCCGGACACCTTGCAGTTGACCTTCAAGGACTTACCAAGGTAAGCTAATGATGACAACCAATGAGGCATCGAAGTAGTTTATATGCTTACAGTCCTATCAGTTCAACTCCTGAAGCATATGCTCATGTAAAACTTCTGCATTCATTTAACAGGTTGAGGCTCGACTTGTTGTTCTAGCAGTTTTGCGAATGATCAAGGAAGACTATACGCGAGGTAAGAATCAATACATCGTCTCTGCGTTACTGTTTTCACTCAATAACCACTTCAAATGGGATCATACAAGTACTAAACAATAGGCAAAAATTTAGACAAAATCACATTTAGTTGACTTATATATATACACCAAGAGAGACTAAAATGCACTATTGTAAGTAACTGAATCTGCCTCTTGCAGGTGATGTTGTAAAAGATGATTTGGTGATCATCCTAGGAACGGGTGAAGCAAGTACCGATTCAGGGAAGCAAGAGATTGAAGTGAAAGATGTGCTAGTAAAACTCCTGAAAGATGAATTGTCTCTTGTGGTTCTTCCTGCTGGGCAAAGACATGTGCTAGATATAACACAGGATGCACGGTGTATGGATGATGCAGACCAAAATACAGAACATACTTCAGAGAACACCAAGTCACTTATTGGTATATCCCCAACAAGGAGGCCTGCAATTCTGGAGAGGTTGATGGTGACAAAGGTGTCCCTGCTTAAATGGCTACAGCGGAAAAAGTAGTTGATCCTGACTGGTACATAACTAATCATCTTTGTATTCCATGCAAATTTCAAACAAATTGCAGAAAATAATGGGTAAAGATTGCACAATATCTCTTTGCAAATATCTGTGTACATTCAGAATAAAGCAGCTTACAAATATCTTCCCCGTTCTTTGTAAACTCGTACAACACAGCTTAAAAACCAAAGATGTATCTTTGCAATAACTTGCATCAGTAAACTTGTTGGTCTCTAATTGAACAGTAACTCACTAAGACAGCAAGCTGAAGATTAGAGCCAATCCTGCTGCTGCAGTTTCAGGGGCAAGTAAACTTCTGATAAATACTGGAAACCAAAAGAGCTCAACGCCTGAATCTCAGCCTTCTGCTTTGTCTTCACCATCAGGTTAAGTTCTTCAACCCACCCAGGATTCTTCTTCACGAAATCCTCCTCCAGCATATCCTTCCCGGTCTTGATATCCTGCTCAGTCATTGGCAACCTACACTGCTCAGGTATCTTGTACTTGTCCAAATCACTTGGCCTGATTCCAAGCCACTTAATATCAGGTGTAGTCAAGTTCGCACTATCATAAGACATGTTCTTTGACCCGCATCCATAAACCGACAAGATCTTCAACCCGTAAGGATCACTATCCACCAAGGCAAGCACCGGAAGCTTAAGCTCCATTTTCATCTTCCTCAAGAACAGCCTTGTGGCTACATCAGGCTGGCCTTTTGCAGTGACGATGATGCAGGGGAACCGGTTATAGAATCTGTCTTCAGCTAACCTTATGTAAGCTGCATCTTTCTCAACTAAGAGTATGAACATAGCATCACTCTGCATATCTCCAACCCTATCAATATTTGGTGGAATAGCTTTCCCACCCATTCCCATCTTTGTGCAGTCTATCATATCTCCATTGTCACTGAATATGAGCCTCCCCACCACCACACCTTTCTCTGCTGCAATTACGTTTAAACTTGACCTTGTGCAGCCGAGCATACACGACACATCGTCCAACACAGCATCACTCTGTGTCTGGTCCTGAAATCCAGAAAGGTTGCAAATTGGTTCCAAAATCGAAACTTTTCCATTCACTTACACTGAATCAAGATCTAAAGTGACTATCTTTATCATCAAATGTAAGAACTTTAAATGTATAAAACTGAAAGGAAGAAACTTTACCTGAAAAAGCTTAACATCAGTGTAGAAGAGATCACGCTTAGTGACATGAATGTTCCTGAGACAGAGTTGGTGGATAAGTGCGAGAATCCGTGTGGTGATAGTTGTCTTCCTAACAGAAGAAACTGACGCAAATGGACGGAGGGTAGATTTGTCTTTCAGCACTATCCGGTCCAGCTCAGGGACATAAAGCTGGTTAGAGGCGGCACGTGATGGCACGCTGAAGGAGAATCCATCTCCCGCGAGGATGGAACGAGCGATCTGAACGATGACTGTCTCTATCTCAGTCTGGACCGAGGAGAGGGAGAGATCTGCAACTTCACGGCAGGAAGATGAGAGAGAGAGGTCAGCTAGAGTTAGTGGTTTCGATGAAGATGACGAGGAGGAGGCGCCGTTACTTCCTGCGGCGGTTAAAGAAGATGAGATGTAGGATTTGAGAAGTTTGAGGATAGCTTCGTCTGATTCAAGAATGCTTTTGAAAGGACGATCCTCCTCTTGCTCGTCTTTAGTGGTTCGCTTTCGTTTCTTCTTATCCGCCATGACGGTGACGGAGATGCGGCGGCTGAGAGAGAAAGATACTGCTACTACTAACAATGGCGGGAAAATATTGCACTTAGGTTAGTGAAAGGCTATTTTTAGGTCAATATAAGCGATAGTACATAGTGTTAGTGAACTTTCTGGTCACGAGAATTAGCAATAAGTCGATATGTCCGAGTGGTTAAGGAGATAGACTTGAAATCTATTGGGCTTCGCCCGCGCAGGTTCGAACCCTGCTGTCGACGAATTTTTTTAATATTTTTTATTGCGAAGCCTAATTAACGGCCCATATATGAAGCCCAATAGATCTATAAAATCTTTAAACGCTTGCCTCTTTAGCCAGAATCTAATCGACGGTTAAGATGAGCTTAAACTCGACTTTCCCTACCCACTACGCGACGTGTCAACTCAAAAAGATCTAAAGATCCGCCACTAGCCTCCGGAACGAGTGTTTTTGATATCCTCCACGTCAGCAATCCCGACCAATACGTGAGGTGGAAATATCCGATCTGACGTGGGCCTTATCGGACGTTCAGGACCTCTAGTTTTATCCACGTCAGATTTTTATTTTGTTTTTGTTCCGCGACAATCTTTCTAATATCTAATCTATCTCCGGAAAAAAAAAGACATCGGTGGCTTATGGTCGTTCCCGATTTTCCACTCTCTGGGAGACAAATCTAATTGTTCACTCACTTTTTTTTTTTGTCTGTGTTCTTTCTGTAAGCTTGAGAAGCTTAGATTCTTGTGTTGATTGTCTTTCTTAATTACGTTGTCGTTTTGATTTCTATGTTTCTCTTCCCCAACCGTTAGCTGCTTGTGCCGGATCCGTTTTTTTCTGGTTGTAGAGGTGATTGATGCAACTAGTGGAGCTCAATTCTTCGTTGTAGTATTTGATTATTGTAAGATTTGGAATTCAGATGCTTTTGTTTGATGTGATTAGTTCTGAGATTCAGTTTTTAGGTTTTGATGATTTTGTAGAAAAACAAAATAAAAAGACTTGTCTAGCTTGCTGGTTTCAAGATTCGTGTTCATTAAATATTTGTTCTGTTAAATTGAGTTACTCTTTGATTATATAACTCCTCTAGCTTTTGCATTTATCCAAATTAGGGTTTCAGGTTTTTAAATTGAAAAGTCTATATGTGACCCTTTAGGTTGTTGATGTTTGACTTCTTAGAGTGGTGAGGAGAAGCATTTTAATATTTTGATCTTTTTTTTTTTTGAACTCAGGGAAGCAGAAGAGGTGTGATGAATGTTAATGAGGACGGTGAGGGTTCTCGTTACCCAATCACTGATCAGAAAACTGTAGAGACTAAAGAGAGGCATCAGGGAGAAGATAAAGTCAATGAAATCACTATGGATGTTAGAAACGGGAGTGCTGGGGCTGGGCATGGCTCAGGTGGACTGCAAATTCCACTATCGCAGCAAACACCAGCCACTGTTTGCTGGGAAAGGTTTCTTCATGTGAGAACCATAAGAGTGTTGCTGGTGGAGAATGATGACTGCACTCGTTATATCGTCACTGCGCTTCTTCGTAACTGTAGCTATGAAGGTCAGTTTTAAAGCCTATTACTTAACTCAGCCTGATTTATAAATTTATAATCTATCTCGTATTTTTATAACAGTTTCAGTTTTGTTTTTGTCTCTGTTGTTACATATGTTGGTTGCCTAGCTTGAATATCTTTGCATCCATTAACCGATATTGAGAAGCATCTTTTTTGTTCTTTCATTCTAGTTGTTGAGGTAGCAAATGGTGTACAAGCTTGGAAGGTGTTAGAAGATCTAAACAATCATATTGACATTGTGTTGACGGAGGTAGTCATGCCTTACTTATCTGGTATAGGACTCTTATGCAAGATCTTAAATCACAAATCTCGTCGGAACATCCCTGTCATTAGTGAGTTCTTTATCTCTTGTCGTTCTAGTTTCAAATGCTTTGTCCCGGTTCTGTTGGAAGTAGATGCTTTTAACTACATTCCCCTGTGAGATTTTGTGTTGCAGTGATGTCATCTCATGACTCAATGGGGCTGGTCTTTAAGTGCTTGTCAAAAGGAGCAGTTGACTTTCTCGTTAAGCCCATAAGGAAAAACGAGCTTAAGATCCTTTGGCAACATGTTTGGAGAAGATGTCAAAGTGTAAGTTCTTTACTCATATTTGTGGATTGGTATCTACTGTTTGGTTTCTCATGGTTATCCTTTGTTTCTTGTTCTCTCAGTCTAGCGGCAGTGGAAGTGAAAGCGGAACTCATCAAACTCAAAAGTCCGTGAAATCAAAGACTATTGTAAAATCTGACAACGATTCAGGACGCAGTGGTGAGAATGAAAATGAGAGCAATGGCCTGAATGCTAGTGATGGAAGTAGTGATGGGAGTGGTGCTCAGGTGAGAAAAAATGTGCAATATCAATAACATAACATATATATCTGATAAGTTGCCATCCCTATAAAAGGTGGAAGAGTTTAATTAACCAATTGTAGATGATTTATCTTGTAAAACCTAGATTCTTTTTTTGAGATATATCTTTTTTCTTCAGAGCTCTTGGACAAAGAAAGCTGTGGAGGTTGATGATGACAGTCCACGAGCGGTATCTCCATGGGATCGAGTTGATAGCACTTGCGCACAAGTGGTACATTCCAACCCCGAGGTTCCTGGTAATCACTTGATCGCAGCACCTGCTGAGAAAGAGACTCAAGAACAGGATGAAAATTTTGGTAAAGAAAGGAAGTTGTGATCTCTTAATTTCTCCCATACTCTTCATTATACACAAACAAGAGAACATAATATTTTTTTTTTTTTTTTAATTTTGGTAATATCTGCAGAAGATGTCACAATGGGTAGAGATTTGGAGATTAGTATTCATGGAAATTGTGATCAGCCAAAAGATGAACCCCTAACCAAAACCACTGGCGTTATAAGACAGGATAATACATTCGAAAAGAGCTCTACCAAATGGAAACTGAAAGTTGGAAAAGGGCCATTGGATCTCAGTAGTGAAAGCCCTTCAAGTAAACAAATGCATGAAGATGGAGGCTCGGGTTTCAAAGCTATGTCTAGCCACCTTCAAGATAACAGAGAACATGAGGCGCCTAACACACACTGCAAAACTTTAGATACCAATGAAGCTGCTATCAAAAAACCTGAAGAGCAAATGCACGTTGAACACAGTTCAAAGAGGCATAGAGGAGCTAAAGATGATGAGACAATAGTCAGAGATGATCGCAATGTGCTTAGGCGTTCAGAGGGTTCAGCTTTCTCTAGGTACTTACTTTGGAATCATTCAAAAATAAACTTAAAAGTTATGTTTTTATATATTATAACGGTTATAATGTTATGTTGTTGGACTTGAACAGGTATAATCCAGCCTTAAATAACAATAAGCTTTCTAGCGGAAACTTGGGAAGCAATTCTCGTCATGATAATAATGGCCAAGATCTTATTAAAAGGACTGAAGCGGCATGTGATTGTCACTCAAACATGAACGAGAGTCTCCCTGATAATCATCATTCACGCGTCGGTAGCAATAACGTGGAAATGAGTTCCACAACTGTGAACAACGCTTCCGCAAAGCCTGGAGCTCCAAAAGTAAGCCCAGCAGGATCTTCATCAGTAAAGCGCTCACTGTTTCAGCCTCTACCTTGTGATCATCACCACTCATCCTATAACCCTGTTCACGTCCCTGAGAGGAAGTTACCACCACAATATGGATCGTCAAATGTGTACAATGAGGCGGTTGAAGGTAACAACAACAACAACGCAGTGAATTACAGTGTGAATGGAAGTGGGTCAGGTAGTGGTCATGGAAGCAATGACCCGTATGGAAGCAGTAATGGCATGAATGCTGGAGGAGTGAATATGGGAAGTGATAATGGTGCTGGCAAAAGCGGAAGCGGTGATGGTAGCGGAAGTGGAAGTGGAAGTGGGAACGTAGTAGATGAGAATAAGATCTCTCAAAGAGAAGCTGCTTTGACAAAGTTCCGTCAGAAGAGAAAGGAGAGGTGCTTCAGGAAGAAGGTAATTTTCTGGATCAACCTAAGGCTTTTGATTGTTTTACATCTCATTTATGTGTTCTGTTCATCATTTAAGATACACAATATATTAACATATACTAACGCTGAGAGACTAAGATATTAATATGCTAACCAAAAAAAAAATAAAAAATACTAACGCTGAGAGACTAAGATATTAATATGCATTAACCGATGTAAATCCATTTTGTATTTGAAATGGTGATAGATAGAAGTGGTTTGTTTTCTTTGTTTACTCAGGTAAGATACCAAAGTGGTTTGTTTTCTTTGTTTACTCAGGTAAGATACCAAAGCCGGAAAAAACTAGCGGAACAACGACCTCGTGTCCGTGGCCAGTTCGTCCGAAAAACAGCTACTGCAACGGATGGTAACGACATAAAAACGCCAAGGGATAGCTAACAGGGAAAACTGCTAAACCAACACTTGTCAGCAGAAAAAAAAAAACTTGTAAGGTTCTCAGTATCTTTGTTGGGATCGATCTATCTATCAGTCTATATATCACGTGTTTTTAACAATTTTTATTTACCCTCAAGTCTGATTCTTTGATACTACTACACTAGTATTCCACGAACACACCGACAGACAAATTGATTGTTTGTTATTTTGTCGTCGTATGGTGTGGTCTGTGGATTCAGGACAAAGGATTTGGTTAATGAGTTGGAAGGTGTGGTTGTAGATGTTGTAAACTTTTGTAAAACAATAACACCAGTGTTTGTATAAGCTATAATGTTTTGGAGCATATATATTGTAGTTTACTGATATTGTCTCCTTTCTTTTGTTTTTCAACAAATAATTTCAACTCCATTTCTCAAAAGGAACACTCTTATATTCAAATGATTGCAACCGCTATGATGAACTATACGATTGTTGCGTATACAATGATTCGAGATTTAGATTGTATTATCATCTCTGTGTTGTGTTTACTGCTATAAACTGCGATGCTAGTGTCTAGTTTCTTGGTCTAGCGACAGAATCATAAGAGTAACACTGTTGTTCCGTCGGAACAGAGCATATAGAAGCTAGCTGGACGATCACCTTACAACACTCAACACTGTCTGAAAAGGATAAAAATGCAAAAAAAAAAAGAAGTCGACAAAGTTAAAAACTAAAAAAAATTTTAGCACAGGGAGCTTACATAAGTGGCGAAGAGAGAGTTTTCAGAGTCGTGGCAAATGAACTTGATGGTGTGTATGAAGCACAAGCCCTCTCATTGGCCTATCAAGACTCTAGCTGCCAACTCCATGTAACGAATCTGTCAAACCATTCTGCTTAATTACGAAAGGAAACAACGGAACAGGGGAAGCTCTGTTGAGAAAGCTGGAAACAACAATCTCGGACATAGTTTCAGGCTATTTTTGCAACGTGGTACAAGTTGTATCGGTTAAGTGTTTGGTAACTGCTGTAGAAGTGAGGGAAGAATAGGTAAGAGGAGCGGCTCTGCATCTCGGAAGAACAGAGAAGATTCTAGAGATCGTCGAGAGAAGACGATTACCTGAACTGGGATATGATCAGATGAAGAACATTGATGAATGGAGAGCATTCTATAAGATGAACTCTTCTGACTGTAATAGCAAGACAGTTTCTTGTGACTCAGATGAAGTGTGCATCATCACTATTGAGTAATTTGTAAAAAGCTATTTGTAGATGCCTGTTTATAATTGTTGTTGGTGATGATGCAACTCACGTGTAATAATGATATGTAGCACTTGCGTTGAAATGTAACATTAACTCACTATATGCTATTGAAGAATGTCTTTGTTCTTTCTTCCAAAATTATTGTATTCTACTATAGTTTTCAACTATTTTGATCAGTGTTTGATAAATAATATCACACTGGTGTCAATGTTGAATGTTGAGATCGATTATTGATTACCAGCAACAGTTTGACAAGGAAGAAATAAGAAAAGTTAGGACTTACAAAACAAAACAAAATTAAAAACTTAATAATATCCCATGGATTTATTTGTAGATTTTCTTTAAATTTCTATAGTTAACACTTTATCTCTAACGCTTTCTTTAGAGAACAAACATATTGAAAACAAGAGGCATTAATGATTAGCCACACAAAAAAATATATGTTATGTAATTTTACGACTAAATAAGTAAATGAGGCAGCTAATGTTTTCGTTTCAGTACAATCGAAACATTATAATTCTGAGAAAGTGTTCCAACTAATTGAAGTTGATCTTCAAACCATTGTGCATCATCAAATGAACTACTTCCCAACCATACAACCATTGTCTCCAGTGTCTTTGCATTTCTCAGCACCAACTCTATAAACAAAGCCAAGACTTCCGACGTTGAATCATTACAACCCAACATTGAATAGATTGCCTCTGCGGTGGGAAACGCCTTATATTTGGTTCTCCAAGATCGATCCAGATTCCTACTCTGTAAAACATAAAAGGTTATCCCAAAAGTGATTTTAGAAAGAAAACAAATATATATATCCAAGCAAAAGTGAAGTAGAGGTGGTTTGATTAGCTTGCATGGTCTTCACTATTATACATATACAAGGAAAATAAAAAGGGCTATTAATTGTTTGGGCAAATTTACCATTACGTTGTGGTCGTGCATCGTGTATACTGTTAGTTTCTTTAGCCCAGGTGAATTTCGTAGTAACCTTGCTATGCCAGGAATAACAGATTGAGCAAACTCCGTTTTAATAATCAGAGTTTGGACCTTAAGCGTTGGGAAAGGAACACCACGGAGCTCCGCCAGAGTTAGAATCTAACAAAAGGAGATCATGAAACATTTGTTAGCAATTAGTTCATGATTTAACACTATATCTTTTTTTAACAGTTACAACCTTATAAGTAAATATTTGCAACATATATATGTACGTACCTGAAGAAGGGTTGCCCCAAGGGTTAGCCTCTCTACGTTGTGCAGTTTTGCTAGTAACTCCAGCGCTAGGGTTTGAAAACAATGATCAGTGGAACGAAGGAGTATACTAGTCCTAATGTAAAGGTGAGCCTCGGTCAATGAGGAGACATCCACTAACTTAAAATCTTTGTCAGTGTATATTCTCAATCTCAAATAATTGATGTGTGGCGCTACAATCTCAACTGGTCCTGAAGGACCCAGTTCTTCTGGTCGTGGATGACTATGATATATCTCCAGCCTCCTCAGACTCAGTGACTTGCGCAGATCAAGACGCTCAAGGACACGGCATGCATACAATGTCAAGCTTTCGAGAATCGGACAGCCAGAGAGAATATTATCCATGGATTCTTTTCCAAGTTTACACTTAATCAGTGACAAGTTTCTTAGGGATTTCCAAGACACTGTGCATCTGGGAATCATATAATAAAAGGGCAAGCACACGCTGAGTTGCTTCAAAGAGGAATTGAGATAGAAAAAATCTGGAAAATTGTAAGTCTTGTTGAAAGTAAAATCAAGGATGGTCACAGAGAGCTTCTCAACGTTGCGAGAGATGGCGAACTCGACCAAGCTATCAATCTGAGGTGGTGCAGTGTTATCAAGGCTCACAGGGAGATTGAAACTCGTGATTTTGGGAGCCGTGTAGGAAGCTAGGGTTTGGTTTATCTCACCAGCCTTCAGTATAGACCCATATATTGCGAGACAAGGCATCTCGCACCAGACATGCCTCCATCGTCTGGATAATACAGAAGTTCTCATGGCCAAATCGATGGGGATGAAGAAGAGAATATGGCGGAGGATCTCATCTGGCATGGAGTTGATGTAATCTGCACCGTCGATTATTTCTATTGGTCGTTCGACTTTGCGGTGGCTACGGTTTCTACGACGTTGCCGGCGACCCCGTCTGTCTCGCCTATTGCCCATGATTTTCTTAGGTTTTGTTTTAATTTGTTTGCAGATCACGTTTCTTATTAGCAGGTTATTACATATATATATATACTAGGGTAAACCCGCCCTACGGGCGGGCGAATAAATAAACTATTACTATAAATTTATTTTAAATGTTTGATTTATTTTAACTAAAAGTAACATTGATATTCGTAAATTTTGTACTACAATTTAACTATATATTTTACTATACATTTAAATTATATAATTATTTTCTTTCAATTTTTTCTAATTTAACCATAAAAAATAATCACATATATTTATAAAAATTAGAGTCAAATGGATTAAGTATAATGAAGTTACTTTTGATCTCAGTTTTGTACATGAATCAAAATATTTTAAGATAGATAATATGAAAATATAGTTGCTATTTATACATATACATGTTTGTTAGAATTTTATAGGCAATATTATTATATATCAACATAATTGATTAGAATTTTGAAAAAAAAAATATTACTGACTTTTTTTGTCACAAAATAAATATTACTGACTAACTTATTAAATATAATCTTTAGAATAATTTATTAGTATATATAGACTATATTGATTATAGTTTATTGTTGAATAGAATTATTTCTTTTTTTTATTAGATATTTAAATGTAACATTTAATTTAACTCACAACTTTTTTACAATTATTAAGTTATCTACTTGTTTAATTGTTTTTTTGTCTTTAATATTTGTTCGATTTTTGTAAAAACTTCAAATACATTATTTACTTTCGATTAAATGTAACATTATTTTATATAAAGTAGTTATATATTCTATATACAATGTTGAGGTATAATTATACTATAAAATTAGATTAAATAACTTAAGTTATTAAAGTCATTCTGTTAAATTGGAAATTTTAAATTTTATATAATTATTTTGGTATAAATTTTATAAATATACGTTTATTAATCCTTACTTGTAATCAAAATAAGTTCATAAATAGAAATATACATTAAAAAATTGTCCTTTATGATTTTCAATTCAGTAACTTTGATGTGTTATAAAATCCTTATTTATAATAAGTTATGCCTTTTTGGTTTATGATATAAAAATGATGAATAACATTTCATATTCTTTTTTAATTGATTCAATGTATCTAAATTACCAAAGATGATATATAACATTTCAGATTTATCGCAAACCAATATATTTACATATATATATATATATATATATATAATTTAAATGAAATATTAAAATTATGTGGCATACATGTTGATAATAACAATATTGATTCTCGAATCTATATACAAAGAACCCTAGCCCTGGATCCTATTCACAAAATAATGTATAGGGGTTCATGAGACACATAGGCTTAGCGTATTCATTATATAGATAAGGAAAACAAAAACTGAAGATTACATACCAATCACAATGACAACTCAATATCTCTTTTCCTCAACTGAGGTATAAAAAAAGAATTGAAATGGCAGTTACAATAAATAAATAAAAAACCAAAACAAAGCTAAAATGATTAATTAGCCTATTTAATTAGTAGCAATAAATTAGAAGAAGCAGCACAACATAATTTATATTTGAAATAATAGGATGTTAGAGGTGCAATTTTTTAATGTTTTTTTTAAAAAAATATGATTAATTTTTTAAGTTATGGTATTTTACTTGATGATGTGGAGCCTCAGTGAAAGAGAGTGTTTTTTAAGTATTATGTAAACTTTAGATGTCAATTTTGAAATCCAAGAATGCTTTAATCATTTGACCAAAAAAAAAGAATTTGTAATCTAGTTGTAAATGTTTAAGCATAATCTAATATTACGTTGACAAAAAGAATATTGCATATGCTAAACCAAGAAATGGGCTTTATCTCATTGGTGAAACTTACACAATATAAGACCCAGACATGGTGAAAATGACCCATTTTGATTTGTTTACGTGTTTATTTAGAGTATTTTCCTAAATTTCCTAAAACAAAATAAAATTAAAGAAAAATATCAACAACTCGAATCTTGCCGTCCTCCCGTCCTCCGTTCTCTCAATCTTCATTTTCAACGTCGTGATTCCAATCGGGCTTCCAAGTTTATCACCGTCGCAGAAGGTCACGTTATCAACTTTAATCGTCGGGTCTCTCTCCTGAATAACCTAAGATCCATCGTGCTAGCACTTCATAGCTGGTTCTCTTCACAGCCGATCCACTCCGTCTCCGCCGCCGTCGACCAAAACCTATTTTTGCGTCTTCTTGCAGCGACCAAAACCTAGCTTCCTTTGATCTCCACAGCAGCGGCCGTCGGATAGTACTCTCTTGTCCCTGTCCAGAGATAATGGAGAAATCGACGATGTCTCAGTGAAGTTTTGGTTGCTTAGAATTGCATCGGTTATGTCACCAGTTCAGCCAAAAATTCATCTGAAAAGTCAGCTGTGATGGTGTAGCTGGATCTTCTGAAGATCGCTATTTAAAAACAATGAAGAATGAGATGCAAACTGCAGTGGTGAGAGTCATAGAATTGGACATCCGTATTTATAGGTACAATTCTGAAAAACATAAAGTCGGTGAATTTGGATAATTTAATGTTTGTAAGGATCGTAATTATGAAGCTTTATTACATTAATTGGATGAAGCGTTTCAATGTTGTTTTGTAAGAGTCTCGGCATGCGAGGGGATGATTGATAACATATGGATTGGTCAACCGTTGGTGTTAAAAGAAATGTTTGAAGTGGATCGTGCGCAAGTTCGGCCCACAAATAAAAATAGTTAGAACCATTTGAACCCAAGAAGTGAATATGCCACGTGTTGTGCTCTCCCTTCTTTATTTGATGACGTGTCCTATTCAGGAGTGAGAGAACTTTAGTTTATATATATAGATAAGGTATTTTCGTTAGCATGTTGACTATTTTCCTTTTTCTTGACCAAAAAGGAAAAAAAATAATACGTTCCTTAATTATTTCTCCATCCCGGAGAAGGAAAATAGTGAGCGTATTTTAAGTAAATAATAAGTTACTTTAACTAAAACAAGGAGGAGCACAAACTCAACAAGAAACTGCATCTGCATGTGATGTTGTGTAGCACTTGCTTTTAATTGCAACAAATTCTAATCTAGTTATATAGTATTGAGGAAGGTAGAGTCTATCATTTTCAGTGCAAAATTATTATATGATAGATACCTACAATTATTGTGTAGATATTATGTAATATTGTTAATTCGATCATGTACCACTTGCTTTTAAATGTGACAATTATCTTATTATAGGAATGTCTCTCTGCTTTTACATTCCTCAAATATTGTATTTACTGTACTAATCTGTTAATTGTATGTCCTATACGTGTAGTAGAGAAAAATAATGTCAATGTGGATGCAGGGCCGGCCCTGATATTTTGAGGGTCTGTGGCGATTTCTAAGTAAAAAAATTTTTTGGGGGCCTAAAATTTTTTTTTGGGGCCTATGCTCATGTAATTTTCTACAAAATTTTTGGGGGCCTGATAAATGTTTCACTAGGCATTGCCCAGGGCCGGCCCTGCGTGGATGTTAACATTGTCTATTGGGTAATCGTAATATAAAAAAAGTCAAGTTGTTGCTGCATATGGATTAAAAAGTACACATCTTATTACATCATTTGGTACTTATTTATCCGTGTCGTACCATGAGGTTTGGTCCGGTACACGGTAGTCCTTAATCCTTCCTAGTTACTGCAATAGTAAAACCGGAACAAAAGTTCATACCTGTTTACCGGAAAATATTTAACAAGCTCAAAATGCATAAGCCGGAAGCTAAACCGGTTCGGTTTTGATTTCTAGAACCAGAAGTGGCCCAGAGCAAAAAACATTAGACAGCCATATAACAAAGAGTCCGTTAATTAATATTATTGGGCCGTTAATGGATACAACAAAATAAGTGACGTGGGCCGTATATATACAACTCCTTTAGACTTGCTCTCGTAGGCTCTCTACTCTCAACACTCTCTCTCTCTACTCACTCTGCTCTCTCTCTAAATGGCGAAAAGCGGTTACTCGTTGGGTCAGAAATTCTGTTATATTATCCCCTCTTGTTTGACACGTGGCAAATCCTTTTTTTTTCCCTCTAACCTCTCTTTTCGAAACGAACTCTACTCATCTTCTCAAAAATGGATTCTACGTACAAGAAGGCGAGAGATCTCTTCGATGAAGGAAAGACGGTGGAGGCGCTGAAAGTGATCGAAGAAACCGCTTCTACTTCCGTCGTCTTCGTAGTCCAAGAGAAGGAGAAGCTGGATTACATGGAAGCAGAGATCTTTGAAGGATTAGGTCAATCATCATCAGGTGATTTGAAAATCTCGTATCTTCTTGCATGTGCGGAATGTTTATCTCGTATCGGTACGTGTCCTGAACGTTTGGATAAGATTCTTTTGGAATTGGAAGAGCAAATAGGGTCAAGTTTACACTACAAGAAGCCTCCTCTAGTACTTAGAGGTTCAAACCAAAACAATCTTGTGAACTACTACTGGCCACTTTTTACGCTGGATTTCAAAAGGAAACTTATGAGAGTTAAGGTGGATGACTTCATGAACTATGTGCAATCCAGCAGTGGTTTAGTAGGCCTTGCTTCTCTGGTAAAGGTCTTCAAGAGTGTTAGAAAAGACAAGTTTTGGTCCACTTGGCTGTGTCGAAGTTGTGACAGGAAGTTCTCTACTCGTGAAGATGTTAAGGATCATATCCAACGTCATGCTGCAGACTTTCCGAGAGAGCATATGCCAAACCTGATTAGTGATGTATGGGTTGCTAGAATACGCTCTGGATGTTGGGAACCAGTGGATGTTGTAGATGCTGTTCACATGATCAAGAACCGGTTTGGAGATGTGAAAGCGTTTGAATATGAGTGTGGATGGTGCAAAGAATGGCCTTTAGCTAACGATGAAGAGCGCACTAGGTTGCTCAAACAAATCCAATCGCTTCTACTGTCCTTCATTGGACACAAACTTCTTTCAGATAGCGTCCTAAACATGCTGAAGCATCTCGTGTTGAACAAGCTGGAAAAGCTTCAGGTTTCGAGCCAGGCGCTTACTGATTGCGGCCTAGTGGATACACCACAGAGTTTTTGCTTTCTCGAGTTTGATGAACTTGGCCGTGTACTTGCATTTCTGCAAAAGATAAAGCTTAAGAGTGATGATGGTACAGAGATGGTTTGTAGAGAAGTGGACTTTTGCACTCAGAGTGATCGAGTTAACGAGAGGTTGGACTTCAACTCTGATTTTTCATTTTTGCTATTGGACAAGAGGCTGTTGAGAGGCGAGGTTGAAACCTTTGACGATGAAGGCAAAGTTAAGTTTTATGATCCCAGTGTCCACTACGCCAGTGTTGTTCCTCGTGGTGACTATCTACTGACTTGGTTAAACAACCGCTTCGGAAGATTAGAAGATGAACGCTTTGTGTTTCCAAAACCTGTCAGTACACGGAGATTTGAGCTTTGGTTGGCTGCTTTGAGAGCCTACCAATTCATATGCAGGAATTTGGGAGCTGAATATGGAAAGAAACTGCAGTTAATAGAATGTGTTGATGTACTTACTCGGGCAAGGGATCAACTTGCAATTCTATCACAGTGTCCAGAGATAAGTGTAAGGAGGAACAATTTTGCGGTTCTTGAAGTCATCAAAGGATTAAGTTCATTTGGTGTAGCATGTGGTGTTGTTATGAGTGAAGAAATGCCTGATGAGGATGATGCAGAGTACTTACATATTCTTCAATCGGTGGTCAACGAGAAGGTTATTAATCTGAAACTTTCTTTTATTTTAACTCATGAACATGTTATTTACTGATTGCTCTAGCAAACATCTTTTTTCTTTGCAGATTGTACTAACAGATTCAACGATTATTCTGTATGAGAGATCAAGGATCAACCTGATAAACCAACTCACCGGACTTGCTTCTTTTGACTACCGCACATATATTCAACGTCCATTGAAACAATATCTACTAGTGACTCTGAACAGAGAGGTGGCTTCATGGAACCAGGGTTGATAAAGTGGAGTATGTTTCAGTTTTTTCTTACAGTGTATTCCTTATGACTGAGATTATATGTTTTACTCGTGTTATGTGTTTCATGGTTACCGTGACCAACACGGATGTCATTCAAAAGAATATAAAAAAAACGATAAATAATAGTACTACGTTGAATTTTCCAATATTCATGTGAAGTCATTTTTGTTTGGAGAATGTTAGACGAATATTGGCCCTGGTTTCTTGGACCCGAATACTTATGATCCGATCCAGCCCAATAAAAATCGAGTTTTTTAATATCAATCTCAGATGGACGGAAGCTAAGTTGTCACCAGATGAGGGAGATCATGATGTAAAGCATTGATCTTCAAGACACTTGTAGTAACTCAGCTTGTGCCGAGTGATCTTATTTCTTCTGGCTTTCTCTCTTTCTTTTTTTGGGTAGAGAAATCTAAGGCAAGTGAATCCAAAAGCAAAGGATCTGATAATATTGTGACACAAACGTACGTTTACATTCGCTGAGCTAGCTACTGCCTGCCACTAGAAATTTCGGGAAAGCGTGTCCAATTATTGGGAAGGAGGATTTGGCAGAGTTTCCAAAGGCTACTTAGCAACAAGCACTAGCCAGGTTCTAGGTTTTCTGATTTTTTCACTTTTTTATTAGTTAGTGAAAGTTCACTGACACTATTTTCTTGATTTGTAGACAGCGGCTATCAAGCAACTTGATCATAATGGATTTAAATTTGCTTCTTTTTTTTTCCCTCTCCAGAGATTTCACCTGGCAAACAGCCACTTGACTGGATGAAAATAGCTGCAGGTGCTGCAAAAGGGTTGAAGTGCTCCAATATTTTGCTCGGAGATGACTACTCTCAGAAGCTATCTGACTTTGGTTTGGCTAAACTTGGCTCGGTGGGTGACAAGTCTCATGTGTCCACTCGGGTTATGGGAACATACGGATATTGTGCTCCTGAATATGCAATGAGAGGCCAAGTTAACACTCAAATCTGACGTTTATAGCTAATTGGGGTGGTTCTTTTGGAGATTATATAACTGGTAGGAAAGCCATCGACAGTTCGAGATCTAGTGGAGAGCAGAATCTAGTCGCATGGGTAAGAAGAAAGAGAATTACATAGAGTTTGGTTGTAGCTGTAATGTTATGTAGCATTTGTTCCATATATGTCTCTATTTTCATTCCAGAACTGTTGTATTAGTTTCGACACAATGTTTTGAGATTTTGATTGTATTATCATCGGTGTTTGTGTTCACTGCCACAACAAACTGCAATGCTAGTGTTTAGTTTCTTTGTCTAACGATAGAATCATAAGAGTAACATAGTGGTTCCGTCCGAACAGAGCTTAGCTGAACCATCTTCTTACAACACTCAAACAACACTGTCTGAAAAGGATGCAAAAAAATTGACAAAGTTGACACTGATCTAGTAGAAAAAAAAGTAGGAGAATTTGTCAGAGTCTTAGAAAATTCCACTCACAAAGATTCAACAAAACAGGATCTTTAAAAAACCCAGAATCTCAAAATTGACTAATAAAACTCATAAAAAAAAAAACAAGACTTTAAGCACTTCCTTTGTCACCCACCCATCGATGAAGTCAACAAGACGAGCTTCTCTTCAGAAGAACCACTGATGAGTAGCCTCGGATGCGACGCCCACGGCGTCTTGAACGACGCAGAGTTCAGCAAACCTTTACCTTCAATTGGCTTATACGTAGCCATCGCTTCCTTAATCTGCGCACTAGCCATGGCCTCCGATCTCCTCCACGGCTTCCTCCACCGTAAATTCTGGTTCCCCTGTAAGTACTTCTCACTCAACGCAACTTCCTTAACTTTCATCGGCGTCGGTATCAAACTCTCCGTGGATCTCAACACCTCCATGCCTAGTCGCCAGGATCAGCTATCTAAGCTAAGCAGCAGCGTCTTCGTCTGCACAGTGATGGGCAACTCCATGCCTTCTTTAGGTATAATGGACAACAAAGACCTCCTCATGAATCTCGTGGCCTTAGGGATACTTGTGGTTACAGATGTTGTCAATATATGTATTCAGTTAGGGACAGGTGCCATCTATGTATTCAAAGAAGAACACTTTATGGTCGTGCTTCTTATGTTGCTTATGCTACTGATCTTGTGTTTCACGGCGACTACGGTTCCGACCACGAAGAGGATCTTGGAAGCTAAGTATAAGAAGAAGTACGAGGTTGCGTTGAAGTGTCCTTTGGCTACTGAGAAGAGAACAACGGTTGCTAAGAAGATTCAGGGAGATTTGTCTAAGTTTTGGATGATGGCTCACACTAGTAGTCCTCAGTTTGTAATGGCTCGCTCTGTGACGTGTACTGCTTCTGGTTTCTTCTGTCTTTTGAGTGGTGTTACGTTAGGTGAAGCTATGGTTCGGTCTTACTTGTTGAGACAGAGGTCGTCGTCGCTTAGGTTCTGTGATGGAGATTCTGATTATAAATGGTCAACCTCTCTGGTTCTTGTTTGTCAGGCTAGTGCTGTAGCTGTAGGGACTGTTGCTCCTGCGATTAGATGGTTTACTGCTGTTAAATTCAGGTGTCCGATTAGAGGGAATAGGAGTTATAAGGACGAGTTTAGAGTGGAGAGTTACTGGACAGAGTGGTTCTCTGAGAAGAAACAACGTCGCTTATTAAGTCTTTGGATACTCAAAGATCGTAGCTGCAGGAAGACCGCACACGATATTAAAAGCTGGTTGTTGGATGTATGTATAGGGATACAGTATTTGATTGTGTTTGCAAGCAAGATCATCCGTTACATCTCTGTCTACTGTGTTAGTAGAATCTTGATCTGTGTTTATTTGGTTTTCAGAGCAACGGGGAGTACGGTCTCTCACGTTGACTCTGACTTGTCTGGTTCGAGGCAGGAGCTAGCGAGTTATGTACTTCATCTTGAAGGAGAAGACGAGCTTGTGGATTTGATGGTGAGGAGCAATAGAGAGGCTACAGATCATTGGATAAAGAAAGGTAGAAAGAATCAGCCGGTGAATCTGATAGAGCTTTTGGAAGCAACGACAGAGATTTCGAGAGGGTTTGAAGGGATTAAAGAGTTTGATAGCAATGACGTGGCGTCTCTTGCACCATCTGGAGAGCAGCCACCTAACTGTTGGGCTCTCCCGCTTGTGACAATGACAAGTATAGCTTTAGCTCTTCCTAATGTGAAGCCAAAGCTGCTTAACGCTGTTAGTGAGGCGTTAGACTCTGTGAATAAGTTTGAATGTGTTTTAGATACAGGAGGAGAGTTAGCTAATCTAAGGAAAGCTGCTGAGTTAGTTTGGTTAGGTGTTGATCTTTACCATAAGTGGTTGGATGTTGATCTTCGGAAACTATCTAAGCAGGGGAAAACTCCGGAAGAAACACTTAGGGAGCTAGCGGAAGTAGCGAAGAGAGAGTTCTTTGAGTCGTGGCAAATGAACTTGATGGTGTGTATGAAGCATAAGCCATCTCATTGGCCCATCAAGACTCTAGCTGCCAACTCCATGTACAGAATCTGTCAGACCATTCTGCTCAACTACAAAACAAGAGACTACGGAACAGAGGAAGCTCTGTTGAGGAAACTGGAAACCACAATCTCGGACATAGTTTCAGGGTGTTTTTGCAACGTGGTACAGGTTGTATCCGTTAAGTGTTTGGTGACGGCTGTAGAAGTGAGGGAAGAATCGGTAAGAGGAGCGGCTTTGCATCTCGGAAGAACAGAGAAAATTCTAGAGATTGTAGAGAGAAGACGGTTACCTGAACTGAGATGTGATCAGCTAAAGAACATTGATGAATGGAGAGCGTTCTACAAGATGAACTCTTCTGACTGTGATAATAGCAAGACAGTTTCTTCTGATTCAAATGAAGTGTGCATCATCACTGTTGACTAATTTTGTAAAAAAAAGCTGTTTGTGTAGATACAGGTTAATGATTGTTGTTGGTGATTGATGATGCTAGTCAGATGTAATAATGATGTGTAGCACTTGAGTTGAAATGTAACAGTATCTCACTATATGCTATTGAAGACAGAATTTGTTTTCACTCCAAAATTATTGTATTCTACTATAGTTTCAACTTATTTTGATGAGTGTTCGGGTTGGTTCTTATGGAGATTATAACTGGTAGGAAAGCCATCGACAGTTCAAGATCTAGTGGAGAGCTGAATTTAGGCGCATGGGTAAATCATTTATAAATTTATATGTATCATTTCTGTTTGTAAAGTTTACTATGCTCAAGACCAGAGATAATTTCTGCTAAGTTTGTACAGTGGTATCTCCACAAAGACCGGTTCGGTTCAAGCTAATCGAATCAAGGCTTTCGACAGCATACGAATACATGATGCGTTCACACTGCGTGTTTGTGTCCAAGTCTTGTCTTTTTGTCAACGGCTGGAAACGGTAATAAAAAATCATCAAGTAAAGTAGAAAATGTTTTAAGGAACAAAAAAGCACAGACAAAAACTAGAGAGAGAGAGAGACTTCTCCTCTTCTTAAACTCCTCTCCTCCTCCTTGTCTGCTGTTTCTTCATTTTCGCCACGAATCTTAGTCGGAGCCACAGCCACTCGTGTCGTGTGTGTGGTATCTCTGAAGAGAAGTAGTTTCGTCGTCGTCGGGGATTGCATTTGCAGCCCCTTATCGTTGTCATTGGGAGCAGATATCTGAGCTCGACCCACCGGAAAGGATGGCTGCCTCCTCCTTCCTCTTCCCCTTTGTCGGTTTTGTCTCTCAATGTGGTGTTTCTGTAGACCTTCTGGTGTGTATATCCTTGATGTCTCTCTGCTGTGTCGATGAGGAGCTTGTTATACGCTCCACTTGGATCTGTTGTTCTTCACCGAGTTTGCTTTGGGATTCTATGCTCGGGTTAGTGGAGTGTGTTCCCCTTTTGTTTCTACTCTTAGAATTGGAAAATCATTGTCATTGCTTCTTGTTTCTATCCTATGTTATTAACTATTCATGGTAAGTGCTAACCTTGATGTTAATTATTCTGTTTCTTAGGTTTTTTTTTTTTGCGGCTCCTAAGAACAAGATGAGAATGAGAGCTTTGCTGATTCCTCATCATCCTTTCCTTTTTCTTTCTAAAATGGCCGGCCACAGAGTTTTAGGTAAATCAACCATATAAAATTCATTCCTCTCTTCTCATAAACCTCAAAAATTCTTCTCAAAAGGTTACGTTTTTCCTCTTTGGATATGTTGATCGGAATTACACCTCCAACAACTTCAACTCTCGTCTCTTTCTTCAACAAGAAGAAGAAGAAGCTACAACAACGCTCCTGTTATTGATTCCTTTTCTTCTTATGCAAGCAACCAAACAACCGCTTCTTGACCAAGATAGTGTGGTTCATCATAACTCCTCATCCATCAAGTCATTCCCTGCATCTCTCATCTCAAGCTACCCCTCCCTTTCCAGAGAACTGCTTCTTCTCTCAATCTGTTGTTTGCAATGGTAAATACTATCAACATTCTCTTTGGCATGAAACTCTTAACTCATCGGCTCTCTCGTTAATTAAATGTTTGCAGGAATAAACATCTTGTGTGGAACAGCACTGCTTACAAGGACCGGAGGATGGCTCGGGCTTATCCTACTATTTTGCTTCGGCATCATCGCTTGCTACACCGGTTATATATACCTTCCTCCAAAGATGTCTTGAGAGCTCTCCTGGGCTTTGTATTTACATCGACATTTGGACAGACTTTGAGAACTAAAACTTGGATATATATTATAACATTATCCTTCTAAATATTTCTTGATTTTAGAAGACTAGGATAGGGTTATCCAATGCTAGGATAAAATCATCCAATGCTAGAACAGAGTTATCCAAGAGTAGGATAGAGTTATCCAAGATTAGGATAAGGTTATCCAATGATTAAGTTATCCAAGACTAGGATAGCATTATCTAAGACTAGAATAGAGTTATCGAAGACTAGGATAAAGTTATCCTAGGCTAGGATAAGATTATCCAAGGATTAAGTTATCCAAGGTTAGGATAGCATTATTCAAAGCTAGAATAGGATTATCCAAGGCTAGGATAAGGTTATCCAAGGTTAGGATACAGTTATCCAAGACTATGATAGAGTTATCCAAGGCTAGGATAGTGTTATCCAAGGCTAGGATAAGGTTATCCAGGGTTATGATAGAGTTATCCAAGATTATGATAGAGTTATCCAAGACTAGGATAAGGTTATCCAAGGGTAGAATAGAGTTATCCAAGACTATGATAGAGTTATCCAAGACTAGGATAAGGTTATCCAAGGGTAGAATAGAGTTATCCAAAGGTAGAATAGAGTTATCCAAGGATAGAGTTATCCAAGGCTAGGATAGAGTTATCCAAGGTTAGGATAGCATTATCCAAGGTTAGGATAGCATTATCCAAGACTAGGATAAGATTATCCAAGGCTAGGATAGAGTTATCCAAGACTAGTATAGAGTTATCCAAGACTAGGATAAGATTATCCAAGGGTAGAATAGAGTTATCCAAGATTAGGATAGCATTATCCAAAGCTAGGATAGGGTTATCCAAGGTTAGGATAGGGTTATCCAAGGCTAGGATAGTGTTATCTAAGACTAGGATAAGGTTATCCAAGGCTAGGATAGAGTTATCCAATGCTAGGATAAGGTTATCCAAAGTTAGGATAGGATTATACAAGACTAAGATAGGGTTATCCAAGGTTCGGATAGAGTTATCCAAGACTAGGATAAGGTTATCCAAGACTAGGATAAGGTTATCCAAGGTTAGGATAGGGTTATTCAAAATTGGGATAATTTTATCCGACATTGGAATAGGGTTATCCGAAAGTGTAATAAATTTATCTGAGGCTCTTTTTCATTATATCTAAAAACCGCAACTTCACATTCTTCTCTCTGTGTAATATATTTTCCTTAATTAAGTGTTTCTGAAACTATGAAAGAAAATTTGATTCACTGTAATTTTTTTGACTAAATAAGACAATGATGCAGATAATGTTAGCAATTGCTTCGTTTCAGTACAATGGAAACATTATTATTTTGAGAAAGTGTTCCGACTATCTGAAGTTGCTCTTCAAACCATTGTGCATCATCAAAGGAACTACTTCCCAACCATACAACCATTGTCTCCAGTGTCTTTGCATTTCTCAGCACCAACTCTATAAACAAAGCCAAGACTTCTGACGTTGAATCATTACAACCCAACATTGAATAGATCTCCTTTGAGGTGGGAAACTCCTCATATTGGAATATCCAAGATCGATCCAGACTCGTACTCTGTAAAACATAAAAGGTTATCCCAAGAGTGATTTTAGAAAGAAAAAGTTAAAATAAATATGTATATATAACAATCAAAGCAAAAGTGAAGTATAGGTGGTTTGATTAGTTTGCATGGTCTTCACTATTATACATATACAAGGAAAATAAAAGGGCTATTAATTGTTTGGCAAAGTACCATTATGGTGTGGTCGTGCATCGTGTATACTGTTAGTTTCTTTAGCCCAGGTGAATTTTGTAGTAACCTTGCTATGCCAGGAATAACAGATTGAGCAAACTCCGTTTTAATAATCAGAGTTTGGACCTTAAGCGTTGGGAAAGGAACACCACGGAGCTCGGCCAGTGTTAGAATCTAACAAAAGGAGATCATGAAACGTTTGTTAGCATCCAAGTTGATGATATTAACAATTACACCCTTATAAATATTAATTGTAACATATGTACGTACCTGAAGAAGGGTTGCCCCAAGGGTAAGCCTCTCTACGTTGTGGAGTTTTGCTAGCAACTCCAGCGCTAGGGTTTGAAAACAATGATCAGTGGAACGAAGGAGTATACTAGTCCTAATGTAAAAGTGAGCCTCGGTCAATGAGGAGACATCCACTAACTTAAAATCTTTGTCAGTGAATATTCTCAATCTCAAATAATTGATGTGTGGCGCTACAATCTCAACTGGTCCTGAAGGACCCAGCAGTTCTTGATGTGCTCGTGGAGGATGCCAATGATATATCTCCAGCCTCCTCAGACTCAGTGACTTGCGCAGATCAAGACGCTTAAGGACACGACATTCATACAATGTCAAGCTTTCGAGAATTGGAGAGCCAGAGAGAATATTATCAATGGATTCTTGTCCAAGTTTACAGTGAATCAGTGACAAGTTTCTTAGGGATTTCCAAGACACTGCGCATGTGGGAATCATATCACAAAGGGGCAGCAAGCTCACGCTGAGTTGCTTCAAAGAGGAACTGAGATAGAAAAAATCTGGAAAACTGCAAGTCTTGTTGAAACTAAGATCATGATTGGTCACAGACAGCTTCTCAACGTTGCGAGAAATTGCGAACTCGACCAAGCTATCAATCTGAGGTGGTGAAGTTTTAAGGCTCACACGAAGATTGAAACTCGTGATTTTGGGAGCCGTGTAGGAAGCTAGGGTTTGGTTTATCTCACCAGCCTTCAGTATAGACCCATTAATTGCGAGACAAGGCATCTCGCACCAGACATGCCTCCATCGTCTGGATAATACAGAAGTTCTCATGGCCAAATCGATGGGGATGAAGAAGAGAATATGGCGGAGGATCTCATCTGGCATGGAGTTGATGTAATCTGCACCGTCGATTATTTCTATTGGTCGTTCGACTTTGCGGGGGCTACGGTTTCTACGATGTTGCCGGCGACCCCGTCCGTCTCGCCACTTTGCCATGATAACTATGATTTTCTTAGGTTTTGTTTTAATTTGTTTGCAGAACACGTTTCTTATATAGCACGTTTAATATATATATATGTACATGTAACATATTGTTTATATGTTGCCTATTTTCTTTTTTAATATCTTGACCAAAAAGGAAAATTATATAATGTGTTCCTTATTTCTCCACCCGAGAGTACATAACAAAAATAATGATCGTTAAAACATGGAGAATTTACTATATCAGCAAATTTACTAAATATTTTATAATAGAAAATATTTTTTTTAAGATAACAATCTAATACATAAGAATTATTTGATTTTCTAAAAATAAACAAAATTACCTAAAATAATGGAGGAATTGACAACTAAGTAAATTTAATTCTCAAATAATAGTATAGATTAGTCATTTTTCACTAAAAGGAGGAGGAACACAAACTCAACAAGAAAGTGCATGTGATGTTGTGTAGCACTTGCTTTAGTTGCAACAAAATCTAATCTAATTATATAGTACTAGTGAGGAAGGTAAATCGAGTTTTCATGGACCCGAATACTTTGATCTAATCCGGCCCATAAAAATCGAGTTTTTTCTTTAATAATTATTACAACCCTTATTTTGAGCTGAGCTGAGCTGAGAGAGCGGCCTCTTGGACGGAAGGAATTAGTAACCCTAACAAAGGCCGAATCAATCAATCTCAATCTCTGTCTCGAAAATAGATAATCTCTCTCCCTTACTGCGATTCACAATGGCGAGCAACGGAGTGAAGGACACGATGACGACTACGGCGGAGAATGGCTTGAATCCTAAGAAAATCCTTGACCTCAACAGTGCGGAGCCAGATGATGACATTCTAGACGGAGGAGGAGAAGTGAAGGGATTATCAGGAGATTCTACTGATGAGATGAAGAAGAAGAAGGACGAAGCTGACTCTAAGAAGGCTACTGATTCTGGGGATGTATCTCCCGTTGTCGTCGTCGATGATGATGTTCAGAAGAAGATTCGACGTGCTGAGAGGTTTGGCGTTTCTGTTAAGCTAACCGAAGAGGAGAAACGCAATTCTCGTGCTGAGAGGTCAGAATAATCACTTCAAATTCGTTTGATTTGATTAGGTTTAAAGTTTATTCGTTTGATTTTCAAAATCAGAGCATCGCTAATTGATAAGTTTCATTCTCGATACAGGTTCGGAACTGTAGCTGCAGCGGTGAATGGCTCAGAGGGGACGAAGAAAGCTGAGGAGTTGAAGCGAAAGGCTAGAGCTGACAGGTTTCGCTCATCACGCATTATAATAGTCTACTTTACTTGCTTTATAGAAGAAGATGAGGTTTTTTACTGGCTTTATATTTGATACAGATTTGGGGTTCCTGCATCATCATCCACTACTAAAGTTGATAACACTGAGGAAGAGGCGAAGAAGAAAGCTAGGCTCGCTCGTTTCGGGAAAGATGCTAAAGTTGATTCGGGTGAAGAAGAAAGACGCAAAGCTAGGGCATTAAGGTATGCAACCAAACATTCTTTAGTACATGGGTTTTGAAGTACTGTGGCGATTAATTTTCAACAATGTGGTTGTTTGAATTGCTCATCTTCAGGTTTTCTTCTGATTCATCTTCGGAATTACCTGGGAAGCTAAACATTGGCAAGGTATAATCACCTTTCACTTGTTACTTTTCTCTTACCTACTAGAGAGTGAAAGAATAAGTAGATTAGCTAACCCTAACCGTGTGTATTGTTCAATTCTTTGTTTCATCAGGAGGCAGCAGGAAACGCTGCATAAGGTTCCTGAATAAGGTTCCTTTTATCTTTGTAGTTAGGTGAGTTTCACTAAATACTTATGATTCCATTGCAAAATTTAAGGATGCCTGGTTTGTCTGTCGTATCTAACTCCACAATCTATGTTTGTTTTTTTTTGGCAGGTAGTTTTCTAGCTTTTTATGATTCCCTCTCTGGCTGCTTGATTCTCTCTTTTATATTTCTGAATTAGAAGTCCCCCGTATGTAGTATCTTTATTTAAGAGTCGAAGTTTGGTCGTGGAGGAAGCTTATTTGGTCATGCAATGATTCTCTCACATGGACGGAAGCTAAGTTGTCACCAGATGGAGATCATGAGAAATCAACAAAGTAACCTATAGTTCTGATTGTCTTAGAAAAGCAAATGTGTTAGGAACTAGGGAATTCATTCTGAAGTGGCTTGTTCTGACGTTTTTCATGTTGCAGGTGCTTGAAGTGGTAAGTTTATATTGAGTAATGCCTTTATTTCGTTAAACTATATAGATATTCGTATCAAGAAAAGGCAGCATGAATAGAGATTTTTATACACTGTTCTGGAGATTGAGTTCCTTCGCTAGTTAGTAATGTTGAATCTGTTGATTGCTTTTGAGTTGTGCCAATGCCTAGCTTATCTATCAAAAGTATATTGCAAGCGAAACGGATTCCATTACCATGTGTAGTTGTTTGGTTTGCTTATTCATAATGACCTGTCAAGCCGCTACTTCAGAATTTCCTTGTCATCATCTTAAGACATATCATTAGAACTATAGAAGTGCTTGTTGGTTTCCATCTCTCTGGTCTCTATGGCAGTGGAAGTGAAGGGAGGCGTTGAATCTCTGTTCGTGGGACAGGGAATTTACTGGCTTTCTGATGCTACACAATATCTTTATGCGTCTGTAATAGATTTTAGATAAAACTTGTCGATACTTTCATTGCTTTTCTGTTTAACTTTGAATCAAGCGCCAGAAAACTTTTATAAAGGGAATGTAACATTCAGTTTTACTTCTTTTTTTTCCAATTCTGCTTATTAGTCATTTATGTTGCGTGTGTATGCTCAAACGCTAACTTTATGCTTCTGAAAAACTAGTACCATCGACATTGATGATGTCCCTCCTGTGTAAATTGCATACAGGGGTAAATTTGAATTTATGTTTTCTTAAAAACAACATAACAAAGACAACGCAATATAAGTATTGTTCTAGCTATACTACAATTGTGGTTCAGGCTGCCGGTTCCAATTTCTTAGGCATGACACAGGCAATGATGAAGTGAGATAGGTTCATGATGTTGAATGCATTGGGTAGCCACCTCTTATTGACAGTGGAGAAGCCCAACCATTGGTCTGAACCATTTGTGTCTCGAGATAGACAACAATAACAGTTATGTCGTCATGGAAATGCCTTCGAACACCAGGGAGGATCTCTTGCAAGTCTGAGTATCTCATCTCTCTTTTCTTTGCTGCTTCCTTCAGTGCTGCTTTGAGTAGTCTCCTTGCTATTCCCTGGAAAAAAAAATTCAAAGATATTAACAAACAATGCTTGTGTGCAAAATTGTATAATATGAGTCTGACTTAGGCGTGGAACTTACTTGGCGCGGGGAACTATGTACAATATTAACAGCTTCCTGGTTGCTAAGATGCTCCCAAAGCCCATCTGAAGCAAGAATCATAAACTCGTCTTCTGGTTTAAGCCTAGTAACTGTAATAGATGGATCAGCGCTAAGGATTGGCTTGGTGAAATGCTCTCCTACTCTGAACTTAGGCAGCAATGGCTCTCTGTTGAACTCTGCTCTTTTGAGATATGCATCCCCTATAGATTTTGTGACCTGATTAAATGTAAACAACACATTTTATTAGTGATTTTTACATCCTGAAGCCAACTAGTTTTTTAGAAGTGTTAGCATGGTTTTTTACCTGGATGATGCCTTTCACACGCCACATGCGGTGCTTCAACACAAGAATGTTGGGGTCATTAGGATGCATTGACCATAACTCTTGCCTCGCAGACTCTATATTTGCATTGTGCTCTACTGATAACTGAACAGCTCTCACTCCACTACCTCTCTCATATCTTCCCAACACAGCCCTTGAGTCTCCTGCGTTAGCAATATACACCAATCCGTTGTATATCACTCCTGCCAAGCAACATGACCCCACTGATGCCATCTGTGGGTTCTTGCGCCATTGCTTCTTCACTGCGTTGAGAAAATCTTCGTCTGTCTCTGCAAATGCGTTCCTGATCACCTCCTCAGAAACCTCTCCACCCTCTGAGGCAAACTCTGTTGATATGTGAAAACATGAGTGTTAGTGTGTTCTGGCAGTTTCAAGAACGAGAAAGGTTGTGTGTGTGTCTTACTCTTTAAGTTGAGGAAGAGGTTGTCTGCAGTGAATCTTGAAGCCTCTGGACCTCCATGACCATCGTAAACCCCAACGAACGTGCCTTGAACTGCAGGGTTGTTGAAGGTCAATGGCTCTGATTCGATCTGGCACTGATCCTCCATCACACTGTTGGCTTGGATCATTGCCATTGAAAACTCTCCAAAGGCGTGAAGGCCAAGATCTTTACACCATGTCAAGCCATCATTCTTTGTTGGACTGATCTTACTATGAGAGTTGGAACCTATTCTCCAAAAAGGTTTAACCATCTTCGTAAGTAATGTAATGTTTGAGTAGTAGCAGTGCTTGTTTTTGAATTATGAGTATCAAGTTCAAGGAAGGGACCATATATATAGTCGTGGAAGCCTTAAGAGTAAATAGAAGGTGTTGTTGGAGAGACCATGTGAAGAGGACAAAAAGGTATGGGTCAAAACAACTGAAGAAGTAAATGACTATGAGAGTTGAGACAAGAGGGCAGTATAGTTTAAAGTGAATATTCAGAGATTTTATTCTTTACTGTTCGATGTTGATTCTCTGTCTTTAGTAAAAGCTGTCATGTTCTACTTTCTGCTTTATTTATTTCATGAGATGTTTTCCTTCTCTTGAAATAATATTTCCTTTGTTTCTTACAGGTTAAAAATCTTGTAAACGTTGGAAGCAAGAATGCAGCCAAAATAGTCAATTGTATTGTTTATTTAACTGTTTGTTTGAATCATTGGTGCTATAAGACCTTCATATTAGACTCTCTTTTCTTTTTTTTTTGGTAAAACGTTAAGTTTATATTTGACTTTATGATACAATTGGAGACCAAACTGAAACATATACATTAGGATCAGAATTTATATGAACTTATATGAGGACTTATAGTATCATGGAAAAGTCTTGTTTAGCAGTGGTGCATGGTGGTGTTATGTCACAGTCTATCTTTAATTTCTCATCTTATGTAAATTATGTTTTTGGCTATTGGTTTTGCAGATAGGTAATTTGTGGGAAGAAAATGGATAGCAAAGGAAAGGTCATAGGATGCATGTGTGAGGGAGAGATGAGGGCGTGGGTTTCTGGAGCATTGAACTTGGAACCATTTAACAAGAGCTGAGAGAGACGTAAGAGAGAGGACATAAGACATTTTGTGGGGCGAGTGAGGAACACTCTTAGCTGTCTTAACCCCTACTGGTCTTGCCCTTTTCTCAACCTCTTTTGTCTTCTTTTTTACTTTAAAGAAAGTTATTACAAAAATATTTCTTTACTAGTAAGATTTAGATCGAAATTCATTTCATGGATTGATTATGGGGGTTGTAATGAGTTTTTCAAAGAGGATGGATCCTTTTGGTATTTTTCCTAAGTTCCAACTTGCATTTGGCCCTTCTTCTTTTCCTTCCATAACCATCATTGGCCTTCTCTGTCTCTCCTCGTTTTCTGCTCATAAGATTCCACAGATTGGTGTAATGGTGGCGAGAAACACTGACGTGTGTTGATCGTCATATTACATTGATGAGTAGTTACATTAACACAATTATGTTTTGTTTTCTATACATTTCTCTTGTGCTTTGAAATTAGGAATTCAACAAGTGGGGCTACACAACTTTCACTTCCACTTGTTTGTATTTTCTTAATGACAACGAGTTGTATGTTATGTAGTTTTTCGGGTTAGGACCCAAAAACATGTACACGATATCTTATTTTGGCATATGACTGTTCCACTAGTTAGAGATGGCCAATCTTATCGATGGTGTCGGCTATATAGTGTGACTTGACACAAAATTTGCTAAGCAAAATTGAAAATATAGATCTAAAGTCATATCAAAGAGTAAGAAAATCACATGTAAATTAGCCTAAATATAAACAGAAAGAATGGTCCAGGTACATTTTCTCTTCAGCATATCAAAATAACTTGCATATATGGACCGATTAAATACTGAACATGTGGCCTTGGAACTTATTGAAGAGCCCCTTGAATGCACCATTACAGTACAATGTATTATTATCATGTGCGTGCTATTTATCCTAGAATTAAATTCCTATATTATAACAAGACTAAACAAAACTCAGTCTCGTTTTGTTTAAATAAGAAGAAAATATGTAAACAAATAAAAAAAATAAAACAAGTTCCTATATATGTTTTCATTTAAAAAAAGAGTTATGTTGACAGCTAGGCCATTCATGCTGCACTGATGAGTGTTTTGTCTTTTGGTTGAGGGAGCATGGATGTCAGTCTATCTCTTTAGCTTCTTACTTGGCTTTGTTTTTTATTTCTTTCTCTTGGGTTTGTTACTTTGAATTTAGTGTAGAACGAGATTCAAGTACAATTCAGATACCTCTCAAATAAATTGGTTTTGACTCAATATTAGTATAGTAGGAGATGAACTATCTACAAACCTAGATGCAGGAACCAACGTTTTAGTCTTTCTTGTTACTACAAATGTAACATGACGCAAAATGTTTTGTGTAAAACGTTAGGCAATAACGTAACCAACGTTTTACTTTTTATATTAGTGCATTAAGTTATATACCTCATCCGTTTCTCTACAAAATGTTTTGTAAAATTTATAACCTTCTTTTTTTGGTAAAAAAAATATTTATAACTTCATATATATAGAGTACTGTGTACTATTTATATGTAAAATTTGATTTAATATTTTTATTCTGTAAATATTTTCTAGATCAGTTAATTATGAACTATCTAGTAGATTTAACGATATTACTAGGTTGGCTGTTTGATAAAAGAGTTACGTATAATTCATTGCTCGGATTGTTTCTTCAAAAGTTATATTGCATGCCTCGAATCAAATTATTAGACATTATCATTAGAAAAATGTCTACGAATTAATTAAGTATTATTCTGTTTTTATTTAGATGCACCATATATGATAAGAAAATTGAATGTCTAACGTCTACACTGTCTCCAGTTTTGAAAATGTTTCTGATGTTATCTATTGAATTTGAAGTATAGTTTAATCAGGCATTTAAGTGCATCTCATCTTTCGAGATACCTAGCTTAC